TAATCTGATGTTTTTATTTACTTTTATTATAACTCCTAGATTATCAACTCCCGAAGTTCCTTCATATAACAATGCTGGCTCATATTTACCCAATGTCTCCGGAGATCGGTCAGATCAGTCGCTTGGCACGCGATACGCAATAGTCCAATATCTATCAAAGACTTATCGATTTTTTAATTTTTTAACTTTTAAGCTGGGTTGCGCCATTTTACTTTAACTCGGCCTAAGGTTGAGCTGCACCACCTAACTTTGACCGTAACTATAACGTTATCCAGTGGTTTTGTATGGATTTTGACAGATTTTTGACGTTTGTCGAAGTTAAAGAAAGATGGTGCAACCCAGCCTTAGAATCGATTTTAGCACAGAGTAGCTCTACTGGTTCAGCCGTGCACTGTGACATCCGCTGTCAAATATTTGCGCGCGCGCACATGTTCAAACATTCACCACATTAGCCGAGCCAAGCGCACGTGTGGTCGTGTAGGCCTATCGAGTTGATAACATACAGTTATATTGGCAATGTTTGTTTGTTGACGATATTATAATGTTTGCTATGTAAACACTGAAGTGTTAGGAAGTTAGGTGCTAATAATGTTAATTTCTTAAAGTTTAAAGTTGTCAGCCATAACATTATATTATGACATTGGTGTTAAATTAGGTGATAGATCGAAATATTTTACCCAGCAAGCAGAGTTAACATGTGCGGCTCATAGTCATATCAATAACTTCTCGCTCTGTGAAGCTATTTCGGAATTAAAACTATAGCAACATTGCCAGTTGGAGGCAAGATAGTTCGCTTTCACTTTCAGCCTGATCATCAGTTTCCATCAGATGAGATGCAGGCCAAGAGCTTCCTCGTTGTGGATAAAAAAAGAGTGTCTTTGTAACTTGGTTTGGCCAAAACCCATATGCTAATTTGACCAAAGACGTGTCACCGAGTGGCTCAGAATCTATCTATATATATGTCAACGTGAAATTGTGAACTCTGTCAGTTTATAATATAACGCGTGAGATTGTAAACTAACAGTGGGTTAGGTTAGGTTAGATTGTAATTTAACTACGTCAGATTATAATCTGACGGAATTCACAATATTACGGTGACATATATAAAAGAAAGTCGTGTTAGTTACACCACTTATAACTCAAGAACGGCTGAACCGATTTCCCGTTCGAAATTAAAAAAAAGTCTGCTTATTTATTGCCATTAAGGCGGAACAAAGTTCGCCGGGTCAGCTAGTCTATATACAGGATGTTAGGTAAATGGGTATATGAGCCGACACTAGCCCATGTTAACATGGTCATATCAATGGTATGGTGAAGTCAGAAAATTGATATCTTCATTTTAATTATTTTAATTTTCATACAAATCGGATTTTATAAAATTTATTTTGTATGAAAATTAAAAAAAAATAAAATGATGATATCAAATTTCTGACTTCACCATACCATTTATATGCCCATGTTAACATGTGCTAGTGTCGGCTCATATACCCATTTACCTAACACCCTGTATATAAAAATGAAACCCGTTTCGCGTTGTCACGGCATCACGTGTGAACGGCTGAACCGATTTCGATAATTCTTTTTTTTAAATGTTTGTGGAAGTCCAAGGATGGTTCTTACGGAAAAAAATATTAAGAAAATCTCTACGCTAAGGCGGTACGAAGTTCGCCGGGTCAGCTAGTTGCTAATAAATAAACATTATTTGAGGATAGGTAACCCCTATGCCAAAGCCCAGATGGTAATTTGGAAGACAGAAGTGTCACCAAGTGGTGAAGTAGTTCAGTCAGAGTGACTAATCAGAGCTGCATTTAGGCTATCTAACGTTTTTGAGGGTAGGTAACCCCTTTAACGGAGCCCAGATGGTAATTTGGAAGACAGAAGTATCACCAAGTGGTTCAGAGTGGCTAATACAGAACGACATCTGCAATTTGAATTGGTAATCGCACGACGTGGTTTCCGCGTCGCCGGCGGAAGCGGCGCCGGGCGATTAACGGATTGTAGGGCTAGCGTAGCGGCTCACAATATTCCAGGGAAATATTTTTTCCAGACTATTTGGACTATCACACCAATTTACTGCCAAGAGCTTATTGGAAAATATGTAACAATATGAAATTGACAAATTAAACTCTGATTGTTCACTTCATACCAATAATGTTCTATCAGTTCAAGAAATCGCATTTGAGTATTTTGAGTAGAACTAGATACATACATAGTAATCTTGATAACTCATAACTAGGCCAGTTGTAGTAGATAAAATCCTCAAGAATGAATGCTGATTGAATTAATAAACAATCTAATAATCATGCCAATATGTAGGTAGGTACATTATTTCGTTTAATTATTTTAGTATACACTTGAAATAAGTACCTACCACCTATCTCGGTGATAACAATTTTCAACTTCTTGTTAAACAATAATCACCAGTACTGCCATCTGTTATATCTGGTGGGAACTAAAACGCGTAGGTTTCTGTAGTTCGTTGATAGTTCACATTAAAATAGTGGCGCTATTAACGATTCGGGTTTAGGATTGCTACTTTCTTAATTCCCTTATTTCTTAACCATTAAGGTGATTAACGGAGCACTGAACTTATTTTAGTGGCTATGCCTCATCCTTCCTTCCGATAAGGGGAGTCTTACATAATCTACTCTACCCTGTGCCCGCAGGCTAGGTATGCAATTTCATTTTTTCCCCGGAAAAAAGGGGACAAGTGGAGCGACATCTAGCAGAAAATGACTGAACTACGACAGCGGGTGCTGGAACTAGCAACCTGTTTGGTTCCGCTCGAACGTGTATCATCAACATGTAGACATAAAAACTCTCAAAGATATCTACTTATTTATTTTGTCTCTAGTGTAGCCAAGGCTTAAAGTAGACAGCCGTGGAATCCAGACATGCATCTCAATCATTGGTCATGAATATCAACAGGTTCGCGCCGGTCCACAGGGCGTAGCAAAAGAAAATCAGACTATACAGGATGCATTTATAATGATAGTTTTTTCATAGTAGTTTAATTAATGCCTGGTTTCAATTCAAATGTAGAGAGAGCTGAAAATAATTTTAGATGAATAAGTCCGGTTCCTGAATTTAAAATTTTGACTCATTTTGGCAATTTACATGAGTGTGCTCATCCTCTACTTAAGATACTGATTTAATGACATGCATTCCAGCTGCTAGAGTCATAATATGAAATTACAGACATTCATTAAATGTCAGAAATTAAACTGACCGACACATTTATGATTCCTATCTTTAAAAATAATCAAGCAATGTATTACAATGATCGTCGATTTAGAATTTATCTGAAAGTACTCTCTGTCGTTAAGCGACTCATCGACCGTCCTTTTGTACTCAGAAAAATCCAGGGTTGCCACGGGATACGCGCCCCTCATCCCGCGTCCCAGAGCCATTCTGCGCATTTTCCCCGCGCATCCTAGGCTGCTGTGAGAACCCCGTTCGCTGTTATGAGAACCCCAAAAATTGCAGATGATCAATATTCGCAATTATTATTGACTGTATGTTGCGTCTCTCGTCCCTCTCCAACTACAAGTCTATTTATATCAAGTCACCCCCCACCCCCAGACGAGTGAATACTAGAGTCCCCAGGTGATAATTGATTGTAATCGGGACTGATTTATTGCTCTCGTATTAAAAAGACGTCTTGTTAGAACCCCTTTTCATTTTAAATACATACATAGATAAATAAAAACTTCGACAGCAACAGGTGTTTGGACGGCTTCTACGCGGCGACAACCCTAAGAATTTTGCTGACTTGATTACTACGAAAGGGGCGATTTACACTGAACGTATCGTGAAAACTTGGATTGCGTCCAAGATTTGAAACACCTTTTGAAAATAATGGTTCTGTAATACTGTGCACAATTGTTAATCAGTTAAGTGCCAAGTTACAAAGGACTTAATAAAAGTAAATACGTTGAAAAAAAATATCCATCATAATAATATGATACATGCATTGAACGGTATAAATCCCGCCTCTTGAAACTATTACTTTGCATGATTACTCAAGACCAACATTATTCTTGTTTGTCCTCTCGAACTTATCTAAAGTTGACCATCCCTTACGTTCAAAGGAGAGTCATATCATCCAGTTTTAAGGGGGGAAAGTTTTATGAACGACTGTCGTGAACATTCACAATGGGTAAAAGATTGCAACTCGGAACATTTTTGACAATGTGCGGACGTAATTTCCGGGATTAGAAAAGTTTCTCCAGCGAGTTTTTTATGTGAATCTTCCAGGACTTTTTCCTGTCTGGAGTTGTGTGAGGAACATTTAAGTTAGTCGTTATTTCATCATCATCATGGTCATGACATCTCCATGAACTCGTAGTGACGGTAACGTTCAACAGGTGGATTCGAACCCGCAGTGAATGGGTTAAACTCATTATCAGATCATAAATCCCAGTAGAGACCTAGTACCGAGATATTAATGGTCACCCCAGTCATACAGCGTTTCGTTGTACGTACAGGCAAATTGAGTTGCCCGGGTGGCAGGGTGACCCTCATTGCGGGGTAGCGGGAGGTAATACCGCACTCCCCGTTCCCCGCTCAGGTGTCTAGGTGCAGACATCACATAAATCTGTGCATTTGATTGCAAGTATAAGTTGCATTTTGCTTTGGCATCAATCTGATGCAGCGGGGCGCGGGAGCGGAGGCTGGCTAGGCCCGGGCGACGCTACTGCATCCCCCTCCTCCCCTCCTGCCCTCCTGGCCTTAGATAAGGTTTCAGTAATCTATCATTCCATCCGGAGGCGCAGACAGGAGCGGTCGCTTCACAGGTGGTTCCATGGACACTTGAAGCTCTTCATCATGGGTGTGGCCACTGGTAATTAGTTTGCTTTACAGTCATTTATCATTATTGTTTCTTCAATTTTTATTAATTACGAATAGTTAGGTTCTAGAACACCATTTTCTAGTCTTTCCTCCCTTTTAGGTAAATACTTGGTTTTTTCTTCCATGAATAATATTGATTTTCTTTCCAGGACGAGGAGTCCCTGGAGTCTTCGAGGCCGGTGTCGAACATCACCCACCACAGCATCATGTACGCGCCCAAATGTCTCGTCATCGTCTCCCGGCAGGACTACATCGACACCTTCAGGGTAAGCATGAGCACTTCTTTCCTTCTTTGTTCTTTCTTTCTTTGTTCCTGTTCTTTCTTCTTCTTTGTTCTGGGGTCTTTTGCTACGCGTTTGTGCCCGTATATTGTAGTTTTCTTCTAAAATACAACTCATTTAGGGCAAAATAAAATGGCGGCCTAGCTTCGGGGCTCAATAGGAGCTATAAATAGAACCTTAGCGATTTATTTGTTAATGAGGAAAATCTTATGTAAAGAGTTTTCTTTGTTTGCGCGGAAATTCTAGCGAATTGTTAAAACTTTTTTTTAACAAAATAATGCGAGGAGCTCGATCGATTGGTTCACAAGATGGCGGCTATGCATCGAGAGTTTGCAGTTTAGTTGAGACCTTATTATAATACTAAATTATTTTTAAAATCAGTGTATCTCTGCGAAAATTAATTCAGGTGTGGGATTGTTTTTAAATAATATATTATTTTTTCCTACTTTTTCGGTTGCTCAGTCAAATAAATTGAAAATGGTGGCGGCGCATCCCCATATTAGAGTAGGTATCTACTATGAGTTTTTTTCTTGAATTTACTAATTTAGTATCCTAAAAATCGCTATGGATGGATATTTGGATATTTATTTAATTTTGTAGGCCGATGTAGTGGATTTGGGGCTGAAAGTGAAAAATCGATATTGTGGATTCAAAATGGCGGACGCATCCTTATTACTGATATAGCAGCACAGATTAGGAAAGGGTTCTCTACATTCGCTCTACAGAAGCAAAACCCAGTGAAAGTAATTTGAAAGTCTTTATTTCTAGTATTTTTAGTGGAATATATTACAAAATTTGTTTCAAATTGTGTACGGTAACGGCGCATGCGTGTGCAAAGCGCATGCGTAGAAGAGGCGTGGCCTCTTAAGATGAAGCAAAATGGCGGCTGGCCTTAGTTAACAGAGCCTTAATATTAAAACTAGGCCCTGTGCAATTTCTTGAAGCAAGTCTCTTCAATTAAAATAGAAAAAGTTGAAATTATAAATTCAAATAAACTTTTTAAATCTGAAATGGGTATATTGCAGATATTAATGAGAAAATAATGGATGTACACTTACAACTTCTTTACTTTTTGGACAACAGCTGCTCAGTTACACATGGCTTTGAGTTCTCGTCTTATACTAAAAAGACAGAGTTAATATCTTTTGTTCTTCAACACTTGGCGGATTATGAAACTTTTTGTGTGCGCACAGCGCATGCGTGTTGCGCCTGCGTAGAACGTTAGCGTTGCTTTCATGAAACTTGCAGTAAAATGGCGGCTGATGATCAACCTTTCAAATTTTTTAATAACATCTTTGTAGTTAGGCTTGAGCTCGTGTCTTGCACTAAAAAGATACAATAATAGAATATATTATACTTAAGATTCTTTTTCATCGATTCTTTATCAGACAAAGACATTTTGTGCATATGTACAGCGCATGCGCGAGGCGCCTGCGTAGAACGTTAGCGTTGCTTTCACCAAACTGATTCAAAATGGCGGCTGATGATTTGAACAAAGAATTTGCAAGAGATTGACTTTTTAGTGACTTGTGTATGATTTTTCAAATCAAATACAATTATTTTTAAATTAATGTAGGAGTCTGAAGCGATTTAAGGCATTTAAGTGATTTTACGTGAGTTTTTAATCTTGTCCGTTAGAAGATGGCGTGAGCTTAAATGCGCATGCGTAACACATTCGGTCGATACCCATGGTTTCACAAAATGGCGGATTTCATTTAAGCATTGATGCAGGCAGCATTTATCCACGAATTTGGAATGAATCTTTCTATAGTTAATTATTTTTCTAGGTAGTAAAACTGATAGGAATTTGCAGGTATAAAAAGCATAGTCCTCACTCAATTCTGCAACTGCCTCTGCTATCAGAAAAAAGCGAGACCAATATTTGCATTTGATATAAAGAGCGTATTCCTCTATCAATTCCAGAACTGCCTCGGCATAATCTACACAGTTTGGGTGGAGAACCTCGGCGTGCCCTTAGAGACCCTGGTCGGTAACCTGCTGGGCTGCGTGCTGGTGCCGCCGGCGGGCGGGCCGCAGGTGCGCTTCAGCATCGGCGCCGGCGACCGCCAGGCGCTGCAGCCGCCGGCCGCGCCGCCCATGCCTGTTACGCACAACGCTGTGTACATGCTGCTGAGGTTATTAGGTAAGTTTTTGAAGTGTCTCATCATTTCAGCTACAGGACACAGCCACAGGATCCACTGCTAAGGAATCTGTGAACCCTGGCTTAGTAGAATCTCTTTAGACTCTGGTGAGTAAATTGCAGCCGCAGGCCGCGCCGCCCATGCCTGTCACGCACAACGCTGTGTACATGCTGCTCAGATTATTAGGTAAGTTCTTGAAGTGTTTCATCTTTTCAGCTCCAGAATATAGCTTTTAGATTCGCTGCTGAACCTATGAGGAAGCTGTGAACCCTGGCAGAACCTAGGCGTGCCGGCGACCGCCAATCGCTGCAGCCGCCGGCCGCGCCGCCCATGCCTGTTACGCACAACGCTGTGTATATGCTGCTGAGATTGTTAGGTGAGTACTTGAAGTGTTTCATCTTTTCAGCTCCAGAATATAGCTTTCAGATTCGCTGCTGAATCTATGAGGAAGCTGTGAACCGTGGCAAAACCTGGGCGTATCTCTTGAAACCCTGGTCGGTAGAGCTGACGCCGGCGACCCGTGCCTGTTACGCACAACGCTGTGTACATGCTGCTCAGATTATTAGATAAGCGCTAAAACACAACCACAGGAGCCACTGCTGCACCTGTGAGGAATCTAGGGAGATCCGATGGGTAAACTCCTGGGCTATGTGCTGGTAAAGTGGCGCCAACGATCGCCAGGCGCTGCAGCCGCCACAGCACAACACTGTGTACATGTTGCCGAGATTGTTAGGTAAGCTCTTCATCTTTTCAGCTCCAGGACACAGCTACAGAAGCCACGGCTGAACCTGTGAGGATCTATGAAGCCTGGCGAGAACTTGGGGTACCTCTAGAGACCCTGGTCGGTAACCTGCTGGGCTGCGTGCTGGTGCCGCCGGCGGGCGGGCCGCAGGTGCGCTTCAGCATCGGTGCCGGCGACCGCCAGGCGCTGCAGCCGCCGGCCGCGCCGCCCATGCCTGTTACGCACAACGCTGTGTACATGCTGCTGAGGTTATTAGGTAAGGACACAGCCACAGGAGCCACTGCTGATCCTGTGAAGAATCTAATAAAGCCTGGCGAGACCCTGATGGGTATACGGCTGGGCTGTGTGCTGGTACCGTGGCACTGGCGACTGCCAAACGCTGCAGCCGCCAGCCGCGCCGCCCATGCCTGTTACACACAACGCTGTGTACATGCTGCTGAGGTTATTAGGTGAGTTCTTCATCTTTTCAGCTCCAGGACACAGCCACAGGAGCCCCTGATGATGCCTGGCAGATCTTGGGCGTATCTCGTGAGATACTGGTCAGTAATCTGCTGCGCTGCAGCCGCCGGCCGCGCCGCCCATGCCTGTTACGCACAACTCTGTGTATATGCTGCTGAGATTATTAGGTGAGTTCTTGGAGCACCTTGTCATTTCAGAACTGCCTCAGGATCCACTGCTCAACCTGTGAGGAATCTATGAAGGCTGGTGAGACCTTGGTTGGTAAACTGTTGGCGCTGCAGCCGCCTGCCGCGCCGCCCATGCCTGTTACGCACAACGCTGTGTACATGCTGCTGAGATTATAAGGTAAGGACACAGCCACAGGAGACAGTGCTGCACAGGTGAGGAATCTATGCAGACTGGCGAGAACTTGGCGTGCCCTTAGAGACCCTGGTCGGTAACCTGCTGGGCTGCGCGACACAGTCACAGGAGACACTGCAGATCCTGTGAGGAATCTAATAAAGCCTGGCGAGACCCTGATGGGTATACGGCTTGGCTGTGTGCTAGTACCGTGGCACTAAACGCTGCAGCCGCCGGCCACGCCGCCGGCCACGCCGCCCATACCTGTTACGCACAACGCTGTGTACATGCTGCTGAGATTGTTAGGTGAGTTCTTGGAGCGCCTTGTCATTTCAGAACTGCCTCAGGATCCACTGCTGAACCTGTGAGGAATCTATGAAGGCTGGTGAGACCTTGGTTAGTAAACTGCAGGCGCTGCAGCCACCGGCCGCGCCGCCCATGCCTGTTACGCACAACGCTGTGTACATGCTGCTGAGATTATTAGGTAAGCGCTAAAACACAACCACAGGAGACACTGCTGGACCTGTGAGGATCTATGAAGCCTGGCGAGAACTTGGCGTGCCTCTTGAGATCCTGGTCGGTAAACTGCAGGCGCTGCAGCCGCCGGCCGCTCCGCCCATGCCTGTTACGCACAACGCTGTGTACATGCTGCTGAGATTGTTAGGTGAGTTCTTGGAGCGCCTTGTCATTTCAGAACTGCCACAGGATCCACTGCTGAACCTGTGAGGAATCTATGAAGGCTGGTGAGACCTTGGTTAGTAAACTGCAGGCGCTGCAGCCGCCGGCCGCGCCGCCCATGCCTGTTACGCACAACGCTGTGAATATGCTGCTGACATTATTAGGTAAGTTCTTGAAGCGCCTTATCATTTCAGCCACAGGACTGCCTCAGGAACCACTGCTGATCCTGTGAGGAATCTATGAAGCCTGGCGGAACCTGGGCGTATCTCTCGAGACTCTGATGAGTAACTTGGTGGCGATGGTGACCATGCCTGTTACGCACAACGCTGTGTACCTGCTGCTGAGATTATTAGGTAAGCTCTTTATCTTTTCAGCTCCAGGACACAGCCACCGGAGGCACTTCTGAACCTGTGAGGAATCTATGAGACCTATGCCTCCCTCAATGACTTCCAGATCGGCAGTTTGGAAGCGGCTTGCATCCAGCGCCTTCCTGCTTTATAAGGTAATCCGTCCACCTCCTGGGTGGGTGGACGTCTCACGTCTCCATTCCAGAACCTTACTGCTCCATCAGTCGTCAGTCTTAGGTCAACTGGATGGTGTGTCTGCATGTATTGATTGATTTATTCAGTATGATTTTCCACATAAATAATTATCCTGATGATGATGGATATGATGAACATGATGTACCTTAAACTTAGTCCATCGGGGTTATGGAAATATTATTAATTACCCTAGCTGCCATGTGACAAGATTTTTGGTAATCTATCGACAACTGGGTGGGTCACAGGTTAATCGTTGTGGGTTTGCTGCTGGAAGTTGCTTTGAGCTTTGGGTCCAGCTGTCCCATTAGTGTGTGTCCATCACCAACCGGACACCTGACCCCATGAGCTTAAAGGCAGACCGCCCATAGAACATGGAAGTTTATTTCAACATAGGTAATGTTCGCCAGATAATTTACAGCTTGCATGTATGAAAGTGAAAATGACAACTGCCTATTTACTGATGATTTGAACGTAAATCCAAGTTACTGACGCAACTATAACCCAATCAATGTCATACTGTCAATTTATAGTCCTCTTGATCAGCGTTTCCTAACCTTTTTTTCCATGGACCCCTAAGGAAATCAAGCACAATTTTAAGGACCCCCTTAATAAGAAAAGCAGCAATAAATTTGGATTACGAGACTTGCTGGCATTTACTTACGATTGTTAAATGTTCCAATACGGGGGTCCGCGGATCACAGGTTAAGAAACACTGCTCTAAGTCTAAGACTAGGTGAACCCACTCCTAACCCAAGCATAGCGTAACAAGTCTTTTAAATCAAACATTGAAACATACATTAATCTTATTCCAGGCATCCACAACTCCGTTACACTGTGGTGCGCAGTGATGAGCGAGCATAAGGTGCTTTTAGTGTCGCTTGCTGCCGCCCGCCTGGCAGCGGCCTGCAGGGCGCTAGCGGCTCTTATGTTCCCGTTTAGATACGCACACGTGTATATACCGCTACTACCTGCTGGATTGGCTGAGGTACTGGCAACGCCCACGCCGTTCCTGATCGGCGTGCATTCTAGTTTGAAGGAAGAAGTGTCGGAATTGGTGAGTAACTAAAAGAATTCAATAATTTTTTGAATAATTTTAATGAAAGTCTACGTCAGTAGAAACTGGCTTTGTGTCTAATAAATACAGTCGAAACATTGACACCGAGTCGTCTATGTATCTAGCAGTTTGAGTAAACCTAACTTTGTTCGGAAAGTGAATTAAGTTTGAGAATACTGAGACAGTTCAAACTGTATTTGAGTCCATTTCAAATTTCCTAAACTGCCAGTCTCTATTTGTGCAGACTACGCTTTAAGAAAGAAAGACAGAAAAACATTTATTATGGTTCCAACTTAACAACAACAACACAGATTAAAAGTAAGAATTAAGCCAACCCTATTAAAAGATGTCAAAATTATCATCCTATTCTGGACAAAGTATAGTGTTTTTACATCTGACCCAATTTTAATTCTGTTTTCTATTATCATTCCAGCTGGACGTAATAGTGGCTGACTTAGACGTGGGTTCCCTCCACATCCCGGCGGGCGTGAATATTCCCCTACCCTCAGGGTCACTTCTGACGTCACTGCAAGCGGCGTTGGCGCTGGTACTACAACCGGAGCTGCGCTGCGCAGACTCGGCCTTCGCCCCGCCGCCGCCGCGCGCGTCACCACCACATATGAGGGACAAGGAGATCCGAGCGGTGTTTATGAGGACGCTGGCCAGGCTACTGCAAGGATACAGGTGGGTTTATCAGGTCATTTAGTCTCTACAACTCCCCTCTGTCCTCTGCTGACGTCACTAAAGGCGGCGCTAATGGTGGTACTTCCTACCTACCTACTTACTAGGACGCTCTGGTGAAGGTCACGGGAAGAGCCTGGATGCGGGCAGCGCAGGACCGTTCATTGTGGAAAACCTTGGGGAGGCCTTTGTCCAGCAGTGGACGTCATTTGGATGAAATGAACTAAGGACGCTGGCCAGGCTGTTGCAAGGATATAGGTGGGTCCATCACCAAGTCTAGCCTCCTAGGAGTAGGTTCCTCTATAAGTTACCAGAGGTATTATGGAGGATTTGGTCGTCACTCAATGCTGGCACGGGTTATGCCTTCTTGGGTTCCTTCCGTATCCCGCTACCATCAGGCCCTCTGCTGACGTCACTACAAGCGGCGTTAGAGCTGGGTCCTACAACCGGAGCTGCGCTGCGCAGACTCGGCCTTCGCCCCGCCGACGCCGCGCGCGTCACCACCACATATGCGGGATAAGGAGATCCGAGCGGTCTTCATGAGGACGCTGGCCAGGCTACTGCAAGGATACAGGTGGGTTTCATCATCAGGTCTTTGTCTTTTAGGAGCACAACCCTCTATAAGTGACCAGAGGCATATGGAGAATTTGATAGACATTCCATGCTGGTACGGGTTATGTATTCCAAGAATGTATTTAAGAGATACGAGCGGTCTTCATGAGGACGCTGGCCAGGCTACTGCAGGGTTATAGGTGGGTTTCGTTTCTTTTAGTCCTTTAGGCGGCGCGTCCTCGCCTTTTCGAAGATGAAGCTACCGTCTCTGTGTCAAAGAACACATTTATACTTGCACGAAATTTAACAACTGCTCTCTCTTTCTCCCCCAGACACTGCCTGACCATCATCCGCATCCACCCATCACCCGTGCTGACATTCCACAAGCTCGGCTTCGTGGGCCGGCGAGGGTTGGCAGCGTGTCCCTTTGCGCTTCGGCTGCTGGACTCCATGTTCTTCAGCGGGCTGGTCAGCGAGCGCGGCCCGCCCTGGCGGCCCACCGACGTGTGGGACGAGCTGCTGCAGTGAGTACTGGTGACGTCACACGTCGGGCTCCGTCGGCGCGTGTGCCTTCGCGCTGCGGCTGCTGGACTGATGAGGCTGCTTACGTCACAAGGGCTAAGGCGGGTTTTAGAATCGCACTGACAGCTCGCTGATCGTCGGCGATAAGAAATCAATATGTTTGTAAAATAAAGGAAACGTTCCTGAGTGACGCTGATCGATTGGCGACGACGCTTCATACATTTAGGCTGTCAACGTTGACGGCCAGCGTGCGTCAGCGCAATTTAAAACCAGCCTTAGTGTTTGTGTTAAGGTCATGCGTCAAAGGAGTTCAGATGACAAGTTAGCGGTGTCACACGTTAGTTGGACGAGATCAATCGTAGAAACTGGAAATCGCAAACCACAAGTCGCGCTGATCAACTAAATAGGCTGATACGTGACTATGGACTCAATAACTGCGCATCAAGAAACCGGTGACCGATTAGTGGCGAACGACGTAGCTCCTCTCTCCCTTTCACTCACTACATGCATTTATCTTGTAAGTTTTGTGTCTCAACCAAATCAATGACATATAATAAGTGCTCATATTAACATAATGTATTTTATTTCCAGAAACCTACCGGAACAGCTGCGATTAGAGTCCCTTAATCCAGAACTAGAGCTGCAACACATCCAGGACCTCGCCATGCAACTACACCTCAATGAAAACCCTAACCCACAGGTACGTATCTAAACGAATACGGCTTAAGGTCGTATCGTAGCACACTTATCAACCTGGAAAGGGATCGAAACCGTATCAAGGCGGTCAGTATTCTTTGTATGATACTCCATACTTCAACGTACACTTATTCGCACCGTAACGTAAACGCCTCGCCTCGCGGTTGACAGCGCGTGAAAGGCGATGACAGTTTACAAAAATTGATACGATGTTGATCCCTTTTCGAGTTGATAAGTCTGCTATGACCTTTACTCTGGCAATGTTAAAAAATTAAAAACAAAAAAAAAAAATTTTAATATTGGGGATATTTGTTTTAGTTTTCTCTTTGAGTGTGTACCCCAAATACTCCTTTTTTGGTGTATTTCTTCTTTTCCTATTATTTTTTAAACTTACTTCTCATTCGTCAAACTTATTCACGACTTTCAGTTAAATTCCGAATGATTTATCCATTTTTCCTTCTATAGTAGTTTTATTTTTCCACAAAAACGGCACAGTACTTCTTGACAAAGTTAGCTTTTTCTATATTATTTTAATTCCAACTCACTTTTTACTTTCACCTCATTATCTTACTTACCATCCCAAACTGACACTGCAAGGTGTCCTCATTGCAGGCTTACCAGCAGCGCATACTGCGACCACCAGAAGGCGCCTCATCACGCATCCACCAGCCGCCTCTGCCTACCCTGGACTCAGCACGAGTGCATGAGCTTATACAGGAGCTGACAGCGAGGAACGCTAATGGCGCCAAGTGAGTGTCTCAGTAGGTATACTAGAACTAGGGGCGCCTTTCTCGCTTCTACCTGCCGACCCTGGACTCGGTGCGAGTGCATGAGTTCATACAGGAGCTGACGGCCAGGAACGCTAATGGCGCCAAGTAAGTGTCCCTTTAAGCATACTGCGGCCACTAGAGGGCGCTTCATCACGCATCTACCAGCCGCCTCTGCCTACCCTCGACTCGGCAAGAGTCCATGAGCTTATACAGGAGCTGACGGCCAGGAACGCAAATGGCGCCAAGTAAGTGACCCTTTAAGCATACTGCGGCCACTAGAGGGCGCTTCATCACGCATCTACCAGCCGCCTCTGCCTACCCTCGACTCGGCAAGAGTCCATGAGCTCATACAAGAGCTGACGGCTAGGAACGCTAATGGCGCCAAGTGAGTGTCCCTACAGGACTAATGGGCGCCCCTCTCGCATCCACCAGCTGACGCTGAACTCCGCCCGAGTGCATGAGCTCATACAGGAGTTGACGGGCAGGAACGCTAATGGCGCCAAGTAAGTGACCCTTTAAGCATACTGCGCCTCATCACGCATCCACCAGCCGCCTCTGCCGACCCTGGACTCCGCAAGAGTGCATGAGCTCATACGTTCTTCCCGCGACCTTTACCAGATCGTCGGTACACCTAGTAGGAGGCCTGCCCACGCTACGTCTTCCAGCCCGTGGTCGTCACTCGAGAACTTTTCGGCCCGAGTATACGAGCTCATACAGGAGCTCACGGCCAGAAACGCTAATGGCGCCCAGTGAGTGTTCTTGTAGGCACATTGGAACTAGGGGCGCCTTTCTCGTATCCACCGGTCGCCCCTGCCTTATCCACCAACCGCCCCTGCCGACGCTAAATTCAGCCAGAGAACATCAGATCATACAAGAGCTGACAGCCAGGATCGCTAATGGCACCAAGTGAGTGTTCAAAATCAAAAATATTTATTTAGTTTAATAGTTTAGACCACAAGTGGCACTTATGAACTCAAAATATAGGAAATAATAAAAAAAGAAATGGTAGCCCTTATGGGGCACTTCTTCTTCTTTTCGTGTCGACAACAAACCTACACAGTGTCAGCCCAAAACTCCGCCACAAGAGTGTTATGTAATTTATGGGGCACTTTACATGTCTCCTTATCTTTTGGGCCCTACCAGCGCTTCGAGACAAACATATGGCAAGTGCTGAGAAGAAACGCCGGAACAAACTTCTTGTAGGCACATTGGAAATAATGGCGCCTTTCCTGTTTCTACCTGCCGACCCTGGACTCAGTGCGAGTACACGAGCTCATACAGGAGCTGATGGCCAGAAACGCCAAGTGAATGCCCCGAAACGCCAAGTGAATGCCCCGAAACGCCAAGTGAATGTCCCTGAAGGTACAATGCGGCCGTCGAGAGACACCCTTCTTGGCCGCATTGTATCTTCGGGGACACTCACTTGTCACACACTGTTCTCCGCAGCTTCATTGCAGCCGCCAGGAGGCGCCCTGACGCATCCATCGACCAAGAGAATGAAATGAATGAAAAATGAAAAATATTTTATTGACACTTAGTACGAATGTTACAAGTAGGTAGTTGGGGAATTCCTCTCTTTAAGTTTAAGTAACCTGTGTGAGAAGGCTCCCCTCGCACATTTATTGGCTGCCATTGTTGAAGCTAGATAAGAGCTGATAATAACAATTTGATGCTGCGCAATTTATTACAGTAACTGGCTTTTGCCCGCGGCTTCACCAGCGTTTAATTTAGTTTATCACAGATCGTCATAAATTATAGCCTATATGTTATTCCCGGTTATAAGCAAGAATACTGTAAAGTTTGATCAAAATCTGTTCAATAGTTTTTGCGTGAAATAATAACAAACATCCATACATCCATACAAACTTTCGCATTTAGAATATTAGTATTAATGGAGTAATAATAGAAATAATTTTCATAGATATGCCATTACCCTTTTAAAAACATAATGATTAGTTTTGTTTTTACTAAAATTCGTTCCGATACTTGTATATTTTTCATTGCTTCTATCTTCGCAAAAAGACAGCATCCTTGATAAACAGATTGCGTGCCAGTAGCAGAGTAAATACAAAGGAGTAGTTCATCTTCATAGAAACGCACCAAGCGCGGTTTGTATGTGAGCGCGCGCCAATACGTATGCGGCGCGCACGCACACACTGACAAAATTTAGCGTGGATTAGCGGTGAGGTGCGCTGAATTTTGTCAGTGCGTGCGCACCGCATACGTATTGGCGCGCTCACATACAAACCGCGCTCGGGCGTTTCTATGAAGATGACCTACTCATTTGTATTTACTCTGCCAGTAGCAACAGCATTCTCAAGACCTTAGCCAATAGGTATACATCACCTATCTGGAAGTGTCTGGTGCTTAGGGTGATTTAACTTATTTATTTTATTGACTGTTAATGAATTTGATTGAATTGAATTTATTTATTTATTTACTTTTATTTATTTGCTTCTAACGAGGGCTATCGTTTTAGCGCTGACCAGTTTGCGCCACTGTAGAGTAAGGTCCTGTCACTTGCTAGTAGCGAAGACAGTGGCACCAACTGGTGAGTGCTAAAGTGGTAGGAAGACTATCGAATTTGCACTCATCAAGATGGCGCCACTGTAGAGTAAGGTCCTGTCAATCGCCAGGCGTGCCAACTGTTAAGTATAAAAACGATAGCCCTCATTGATTGAATTTAATTTGATTTTTAATTTAGCTACTTTTTAATTGATTTAATTTAATTTGTTTTTTAATTTATTGATTTATGTTTTTGGTTTTTAATTTAATTTGATTTAATTATAATATTGATATTATGTACATTGGAAAATAACAATAACTTGATAATGATTACTAACATTAGCATTTAAGGTGTGTTTGCTAACCACATTATGAACTATGAGTAGTTCGTGAGTGCCATTTATAGTCTTTTTCACCTAATATGATCCTAAGATGATCGGTATGATGCTTCAAGTATATCCATATTACGCATACTACATATGCAGAATATTTTTGAAAAATTATTTGTTATACAGGGTGTTAGGTAAATGGGTATATAAGCCGACACTAGCCCATGTTAACATGGGCATATTAATGGTATGGTGAAGTCAGAAATTTGATATCATCATTTTAATTTTCATACTGAATAAATTTTATAAAATCCGATTTGTATGAAAATTAAAAAAAAAAAATAAAGATATAAATTTTCTGACTTCATCATACCATTGATATGCCCATGTTAACATGGGCTAGTGTCGGCTCATATACCCATTTAACTAACACCCTGTATACAAGTTAGCAATATTTTATAATAAAAAAAATTAAACTACTTATCTTGAAATGTATAGTAAAATCTGAGTCTATTGGATTATATTTTAATTAAATACGATGTTAAAATATTTTTTATTTAAAGTACGCAATGTGTGATACAGAATAGATATAGTGCTGGAATACAACAAAATCGACTATAGTCTGGTCCGTGAGCACGTAGAATTTTGTCCAATGACTCCTAGCTACCCATCCTTATCGCTCGCGCGTAATTATGTTGCTATCGCGCTCGCACACTCACTGCGGGTGCCAGTCGCACAGTCGCGACAGCAATATAATTACGCGCGAGCGATAAGGATGGGTAGCTAGGGGTCATTGGACAAAATTCTACTTGCTCACGAACCGGGCTTTATACATTTTGATTTTGATGCCTTACTCAGAAATTTACGATATTTAATGGTGTCTATATGCATCAGGTTGGCAGCGTTGCGGCCGCCGCAGCCGCGTATCGTGGCGCCGGGGGCTCCGCCCTCAGGAGCGCCTGAGATGGAGCAAGTATTAGTCACAAACTCAGCACGGAGGCTGGAGGTAATGACATTTACTAATAACAACAACCTGTGTTCTTCTGATTCTTCTTCTTGTCGTGTCGACAACAAACCTACACAGCGTCAGCCCAAAACTCCGCCACAAGAGTGGCGTTCTTCTGATTAATTTTGCGGGTTCAATGATAGTTTAACTTCCCCCGGGACAAACTTGACCTTCACTGGTTGGGTTTTTATTGGTGCTCAAGCTGTAGATCATGGCTACACAGGAGTTGCAGCGGTGGGAATTTGAAATGGTAATAGTCCCGTACATAAGAGTTGCCGCAGTGGGGACGAGGGACGGCAATAATACCTTTTTAGAACAAACAATAGGCGTTTCCCTTGTCTTTCTTGTACTCTCGTTTTTGCTTGTACGTCTCTTGCTTATGTTATTGGGGACCACACCTTATCATTGTGCTTTTTGACCCATTGGGATCTTTGTCTTCCTTTTTTTAATCGTTTTTGAACCCTCCATCACTCGAGTGTTAGTATGCGACTTCATCACACATAATAGACATGTTGACACCACCAATCAATTGACGTACTTTTTAAAACTGTCAAAACGAAACTCTCCCATAGATTTTGTATGGCACTACAAGCAAGTGACGTCACTATTTTTTCAACTCAATTAAACTACTTTTTTCAATTACAATGCGACTAAAAGTCGTAATTTACAGGTAATTTAAAATTAATTAAGTATTTAAAACCAGAATCAAGTGTCTTTTTAGAAATGTTGTGATTTCGAATTATTGGAGAATGGTGTCAAATTGTCCACCCGTGCGTTAAAACAATCCCATCACGTATCCCAGGTGGTCCGCGGCTGCGTGTCTGCTATCTTCGAGTGCCGCTACGCCGACGCGCGCAAGTCGCTCCCAGCTGTATTACGCGCGCTGCGGGCGCACGCGGCGCGCGCTGCCCTCGTGCGTGCCTTGGCCGCGCGTCTGCCCACCGCCAAGCATTTGCTGCACCACCACCAGTTCGAGCTGCTTGTCAGGTATGCTCTCATCATCATCATCAGCATTTCAGCCACAGGACGTCCACTGCTGAACATAGGCCTCCACTAATGATTTCCGATTGCGGTTGGTACTTTTTGGGTGGATGACCTATGCCGCGCTTTCCGGTACGTGACTTTCACTTCAGAACCTTGCTGCCCCATCGGCCATCAGTTCTGCGTACTATGTGCCATGGCCATTGCCATTTGATTTTAGCAATTCAACGGGCTATGTCAGTCACTTTGGTTCTGCGGATCTCATTTCTTATTCGATCACACAAGGAAACTCCGAGCATAGCCCGCTCCATCGCCCTTTGGGTGACCTTGAGCTTTCTTATGAGACCACGTCCACGTCTCAGATCCGTATACCATCACTGGCAACACAAGTATGCTCTAGCATGGTACAATAACGAATACTTACTTACTACGCACAGTATGGACGCTCCCTACCTCCCGTTGTAACAAAGGCCACCCCTGCTCTAGTGTTAAGTAATCGTTAAACTGTCGATAATAATAGGTCAAATCGATTGATCGTTCGATCGATATTTATTTGTCAAAATTGGCCATCGATAATCTCAATTTACTCAATTATGTATATTGTATTAAAATATGATTCTAAAATAAGGAATCGATAATATCTATCTAATCGATAAACCGTGTACTTGGATATTATCATTAAAAACAAGACTACAGCCATGAAGTTTTTATTGACAAATCCATCATTAGTTGTCATCGATATTCTCGAAGTTAACGGTGAGTTGAACACAGCCGATCTTCTCGTCTCCGTCCAGTATGTACACCTCCACGCCCAACTTGCCATACATGCCTTGATCGGGCAGCTCCGCGTAATTGAACACGTAGTTCGATATCGAGTGGTTGCCCTGCGGGAAACAAGAATAACCTGCTATACACGGACCGCTTGAAGCAGTCAGGGTCGACAGCTTCAAGCTGCGACTGCACAGTGAACTACAGAGTTCTATGGACGCACATACACGAACCGCTCGAGCAGTTGCCGTTGCCGTTTAACCGCCTCTGTGGTCTAGTGGTTAGACCACCTGCTTCAGACGCAGAGGTCCCGGGTTCGATTCCCAGTGGGGGCAGATTTTTCTGTTCGGTTTGGTTGGTGGTAGGGCTTGTTCTAAGTCCGCCTGGCTAGCTACCACCATCTTACCTAAGTCTGTCGCCATAACAACAATGTTAATAGCATTATTGTGTTCCGACAGTTAGAGGTAAGATAGCCAGTTCCTCCGTGGTTGAGGATTCCGGGTGAAGCTCGCTTCCACCTTCGGCCTGATCGTCACTTACCATCAGGTAAGATACAGGCCAAGAGCTTCCTCGTTGTGGATAAAAAAAAAAAAAAAAAAGTTGCAACTGATTCGGGCGGTCGACAGCACGGTGAATTTTCATCGTGCGGTCAAGCAGTCGCCAGCCATACACTGACTGCTCGAGCTGTCGACAGCTCTCGCGCAGTTACCTCCGCCCACTTTCTTTATTCCACGGCGCGCGCGCTTGTGATTTGTTGAGCAGTTAATACCAACTGCTCGAGCAGTTATCACTGGCAGCTTCAAGCTGTTGACTCTTGACTACAAGAGTGGTCCGTGTATGTTGATCTTTGACTAACTGCTCGATCTGTCCGTGTTATGCGGGCCTAATAATAATAGTCGCATTTTCCGGAGGTTCCTCAGTCTGTGACCCTGACCACCAGTAGCTTGGGCCCTGCTCCGCTGCCGGCGGATTAACTAGTTTTAAGTATTTTTTGTAATGTATTTTTATTTTTGGTAATTTACATCGTAAAAAAATATATAAAATTAAGAAAGAAATGTGAATAAGGAGACAATAATCGTCGGCCGTTTGGTGTAGTGGTTCGAAACGGACTACTATTCCGAAGGTAGCGGGTTCGATTCCCGCACAGTACAAACATTTGTGTGCATGAACATATTTGTTTGTATTGGACTGGGTGTTTTCTATGTATAATAAGTATGTATTTTACAAAAAAAAAGTATTTAAGTATGTTTATATCCGTTGTCTAGTACCTATAGTACGAGCTTTGCTTAGTTTGGGACTAGAAGCGTATTATTATTTATTTATTTAATAATAGAACTCTTTATTTCACACCACAACAAGAAAAAGAAAAAAGAAACACGGACAGTCTTATCGCTATGATACAATCAATCATTACTTTGGTGATGAGCTTCCTTACCCCTACAACCCTCCTCCCCTACATTTGCCTTCCCCTACACTCTCTCTCCCCTACCTTCTCCCTGTCCTACATTCTCCCTCCCCTATATCCGTCCTCCCCTACATTCCCCTAAATCCCCTTCCCCTACATTCTTCCTCCCCTATATTCCCCCTCTCCTACATTCTCCCTCCCCTATATTTGTCCTCCCCTACATTCCCCTCTCCTATATTCTATCCACGCTGGGGATGGAAATGTACAAACATAGCCCCATAAATAGCGGGCACGCGGGTGCACTGGACAGTAGTATATGCCTAGTCTAGCCAAGCACTCAGTAATAACTGCTATATTACCGCAGGAATAGGACATACGCGTGGGCTCATGTCCATGGAAGTGACCAAGCAATCTTCTATGTTTTCTTTGGCGTATTTCTCAGCGAAATTACAGTAGCAGTCGTCTTTCAATAATAAAGAGGGCTTGCAACCGCCGTCCACGTGTTTGCATATCTCAACGCGGACCTGGAACAGAGAAATATGATTATGAACACATAGCTCCAAGGCTAAGTCATGACACATTTCGCGAAAATGACAGTAAAAGTATGAAAATGTCAAAAAATGATATTTTATACTTTCAAATTAATGTCGCTTGTTTTTCTTCTTTTTTTTTTTCATTTATTTGGGACAAAAAACAGTCTTACAATGGGTCTTAGTCTAGCATCGTACTTATCTATCTAAACTATTGTATGACCAACAACAATGTCCACATATTACATATAAATAATTTATTGAGAGCAGACCTTTAAAAAAATTAGGTTTAGGGTAAATAAGTTTTGTATAATTAATTAATTTTATTTCTATACGGTTAAGCTACTTCCCATACGGGTTGCATAACAGTTTAATTCACCCATTCTGGGACACTGTATTTAGTTTCCTTTAATGGTTAGCAATGATATAAAAAAAATCGAATTAGCCATATTCGCTTATCTTTAATGAATACTTATATCTTTCTTCTAACTTACCCCAAAAGTTTCATCTAGGTCCCTGTCCAAATACATCCATCCGCTGAAGCCATCATGGGTCCGGTTGACCTTCCTCCGGTTAAACTGAAACTGGTACGGATACTTATCGTTGTCGACACAATGCTCCACGTGGATAACCATCCAACTGCCCGGGCCCTGGAGAAAAAGTTTTATTTCTTATCATCATCGTCATCATTGATCCAGGATGTGCATCGCGATAAGCTTTTATCGCGCCATTTTATCGATTTAACTCGATAAGCTCATAAATATGTCTTCTAAAATCAACGAAAATACTTGATCACGGCACACAGTTTTCTCTATAATGCTTACAGAACATATTTAATTAATACATGAACATGTAATGACATAGAATTGAATATAACCTACCACCAAGACTGACGGTAGCACACATATACAGCAAGGTATCAAAATTGCGAAAACCAAATACTTTAACATGATATTAACCGCTGTCTGTCGTAGAATAACTAAAACGCAACATTCAATGTATTTATATGTTCGTTACAAACAAGCGATGTTGTTGAGATCTTCGATATCAGGGACACGCAATATAAAATGTTTTTATGGTAAAATTGTGCATTTATTCACGTACTAGCCATGCCCGCGACTTCATACGCGTGAAAACATAGGAATTTCAAACAAAATTCCAAACCCTGTTCCACCCCCTTAGGGGTGGAATTTCGTAAAATCCGTTCGTAGCAGATGTCTACACCCTATAAAGAACCTACCTGCCATTTCAAACACGTTGTATGTATGTATAATATACAGTATTATACATATAAATTAATAACAAGTATTCGTGCTAAAGCTTAATTTGTAGATTTTAATCGATCCAGCATTATTTTTATCGTGTACTAGCGCCACTTTATTTGTGAGTAAAAGTGATGTTCCAAGCAGAACCTCCCAAGAGTTGTAATTTAATGAGAGCTTCCAGTAGAGCATTGGTTCCCAAACTTATTTGAGACGCGCCCCCATTCGACCATACAAAAAAATCCGCGCCCCTTCTTCCAATCAAGATTCTTTATTTGTCGTATCGAGCAGTCAGAAATGCATTCTCTCAGCGGTCGCAGGTTTTTTATACATAAGTACACAGATGTCCCGCGCCCCCCCTTTAAAGTTCTTTGCGCCTCTCCCGGGGGGCGCGCCTCCCACTTTGGGATCCAATGTAGTAGAGAGATTAAAAGAACTATGTGGTTGGTAAATTATGTAGGTACCCCAGATTTAGGCAAGTTAGGCAATATTCTACACTACAGGATTGTAAAGTAAAGGAATTTAATTCATGACCCCCTTAAGGTTGATATCGTACAGCAAAATGGCGTCATAACAGCTATCGTTTGCGCATGTTCATAACTAATTAGTAACCTCAGCCTGATTGGCGGTTAACGGCAACCATTTTTATTGTTTAAAATTTGTAACTTGAGAGAAATATCTTCTAAAACTGTCAAGTATAGATGTCCTACATTGAACCGTCCCAGCTAAGACATTGTCAAGAGGGCGCTACTATCAGTACTGGATTATTAGTTCCGATATTGCCATGTTGTACAACCAAATTATGACAGTTACAGGAGGACGAAGTTTTTGATTTTTGCCACTTGACGTTTCAAAATCGTTGGACTATATCAATAAAATTTTCCCTACAGATGACACTGACACATGTCTACAGGGTGTTAGGTAAATGGGTATATGAGCCGACACTAGCCCATGTTAACATGGTCATATAAATGGTATGGTCTCTTCATTTTAATTATTTTAATTTTTATACAAATCGGATTTTATAAAATTTATTAACCCAATTTATTTTGTATGAAAATTAAAGAAATTAAAATGATGATATCAAATTTCTGACTTCACCATACCATTTATATGACCATGTTAACATCGGCTCATATACCCATTTACCTAACACCCTGTATACTAAGGAAAATATTTTCGCAGAGTTTCCCTGCCACCTTGTTGAACGGTGAAATAAAAATCATCAATGGATTCCGGATAATATAAAATAATAATGTTTAAATGCTAAAAGTATACAGGTTCCGGATAATATAAAATAATAATGTTTAAATGCTAAAAGTATACAGGATGGTTTTTTATCGCTGATCAAACAAAAAGTGTGCTACTACAACTAAATTGTTCTTGTATGCCCTGTCACGTCATAATATGTCAATGTCACCTCTCCCGTGCCGCTCCCATACCTCAGGCACTGACTGAGTTAAGCGCCTATAGTCTACGGAGTCTTAATTTTTAAAATAAAAATGGCACCTTATTACATAAGGTACACCCCTGCTCTAGTGTAATCGAATCGCGGAATAAAAGTAATCGTTGAACTGTCGATATAGGACAAATCGATCGATATCATCGATGTCGGTCGTATTTTGCCAAAACTGGCAATGGATAAAATGTATATTGTGTTAAATTATAAATTGATTACTCAATTATACCGATTAGTTTGTTCTAAAATAAGGAATCGATATCATCGATCTCATAGATAAACCGTGTGCCTTGGATATTATAATTAAAAAAGCTTTATATAATATAGATGCCTTGGATATTATAATTAAAAATAAGACTACAGCCATGAAGTTTTTATTGACAAATATATTTATCCTAAGTTGACCAAGTCGTCGCGATTCTCGAAGTTAACGGTGAGGTGTACGCAGCCGATGTCCTCGCCTCCGTCCAGTATGTACAGATCGACACCAAACCGGCCGTACATGCCTTGCTCGGGCAGCTCCGCGTAATTGAACACGTAGTTTGATATCGTGTGGTTGCCCTGCACACGGGAAACAAACAATCATTACTTTTATGATTAGCCTTTATGGAGGATTTGGCCTACACTCCCTCCACTACATTCCTCCTCTCCTACATTCACCTTCCTCTACACTCCCTTACATTCGCCTTCCCCTACATCCCCCCTCTCCTAATTATCCCCTCCCCTACATACCCCTTCCCCTATATAACCCCTCCCCTTTACACCCCCTCCCGTCTCACATACACCTCTACATTCACCTTCCCCTACCCTCTCCCTCCCTTACATTCGCCTTCCCCTACATCCTCCCTCTAATACATATTCCCTCCCTTACAAACCCCCTCTCCTACATAACCCTTCTCCTACATATTCCCTCCCCCACATATCTTCTTCACTGCATATTCCCTCCCCTACATATCTTCTTCACTGCATATCCCGTCCCCTACATATCCTCTCCACTACATTCACCTTCCCCTAGACCAGTCTTTCCCAAAGTGGGCGATAACGTCCCCTTGTGGGCGCTGCAGGCTTAAAGGGGGGCGGTAAGAGACCCAGAAAAAAAAAATCGGGACGTTGTGTAGAGGCTTGGGAGGCGTCATCTACTAGGAGGGCTCTTAGATACCGACTGAGCTCGACTCTTAACTACAAAAATGGGGGGCGCTAAAAAATAATTTATTCTCAAAGTGGGCAGTAGACTAAATAAGTTTGGGAACCGCTGCCCTAGACTCTCCCTCCCATACATTCGCCTTCCCCTATATCCTCAATCCCCTACATTCTCCCTTCCTTACATTTCCTCTCCCCTACATTCTCCCTTCTCTAAATTGATTCGATCACTATATCTATTGATGAATCTACGTAAAATGTTCGGGGGTAAAATTAAGATTTTATGTGTTGTAAGAGCACAGCAGTGCACCATTTCAGTTTTTTTAAATATAAAAAGGAAGTTTGCGTTTGTACTGCACACGCTGGCGCGGCGCGTTGTTCTCAAACATATAAAATCTTATTCGAGCGTCCATAGCGGGCACACGGGCGCCATCATGGACAGTAGTCTATGCCTAATCTAGTAATAACTGCTATATTACCGCAGGAATAGGGCATAAGGGTGGGCTCATGCCCATGGAATTGATCAAGCAATCCTCTACGTTTTCTTTGGCGTATTTCTCAGCGAAATTACAGTAGCAGTCGTCTTCCAATACTGCAGTGGGCTTGCAGCCGCCGTCCACGTGTTTGCATATATCAACGCGGACCTGGAACAGAGAAATTTGATTATGAGTACATAGCTCCAAGGCTGAGTCATATTTTACCCAACACACTATTGCTATTGACGACACAAACATTAATTAATTAAAATAATGAAATTGAAATGAAGAATTTCGCCGTCACAAGATTACGTCACAGTTGAATTCACCCATTATGTGACACTCTGTATTTAACGGTTAGCAATGATATTAAAAAAATTCAATTAGCCATATTTCATCACGCGGCTATTTTTAATGACTACTTATCTTTCCAACTCACCCCGAAAGTTTCATCTAGGTCCCTGTCCAAATATATATAGCCGCTGAAGCCATCATGGGTCCGGTTGACCTTCCTCCGGTTAAAAACAAACTGGAACGGGTATTTTTCGTTGTCGACACATTGCTCCACGTGGATAACCATCCAGCTGCCCGGGCCCTGGGGAAAATCATCAAGATTTTATTTGGTCCAGGATGCGCATCGCATTAAACTTTTACGCGCCATTTTATCGATTTTACTCGATAAGCTCATACATTTGTCGTCTAAAATCATCGATAAGACTTTATCACAGCGCGCATCCAGCCCTGCTGGAGGACTATTCTTATACCAAAATCAAAAGGCAGGATTTGGCCTACACTGCCATGCTGGGGGCCTGATTTTCGTATATTTATCCCTTAGTCGCTTCTTTCTTACAGTAATTTCATGCATATGACTGTTTTCTCTGTAACATTTCATGCACAAGTAAGTTTACAGTTTTCTCTATAATGCTTACAGAGCAGATTTAAATAATATAAACATGTATGTCCCAGAATTGAATATAACCTACCACCAAGACTGACGGTAGCACACATATACAGCAAGGTATCAAAATTGCGAAAACCCAATACTTTAACATGATATGATATATATAATATTTTAATATGAACCGCTGTCTGTCGTAGAATGACTAAAACACAAAATTGGATGTTTTTATATGTTCGGTACAAACAAGCGATGTTGTTGAGATCTTCGATATCAGACGACACGCAGTATAAAATATGTTTTAATGATAAAATTGTGCATTTATTCACGCATTATTAACAAGTACATTCGTGATAAAGCTTCATTTGTAGATATTTATCGGTCCGTCATTATTTTTATAGTGCACTAGCGCATCTTTATGTGTGAGGAAAATTGATATCAAAGCAGAACCTCCCAAGACTTGTCATTTCATGAGATTGGTTCGTAAATATGTAGGTATCCCAGATCTTAAGTTAGGCAATATTCTACACTCTACATGATTGTACAAATGTATTGGACAATGTATAATAAAATGATATCTATTCATCCAGTCCCGCGAGGTTGCTGGTTTTTACAAATAACCCTATATAGAATGGTGAAATAAAAATCCTCAATGGATGAATTGGAGTTTTTTATCATTGATCAAACATACAGTGTGGATTCTACTACTAAAATACAATAATATTTTTTACAGGACCAATATCAAATTCTCAATTAAATTCCCATCCCCATGATTGCTCATGATAATTTATATTGAAAAGTATATTTGAATTGTTGGATTTGAGGCACAAATTAAATTCAAAACTTTGTGATTGAGGTAGGTTGCGGTAACGTCGCGTACAAAACGCGCATGAAAAGCGTCTGAAACAATATATACTTACTACTTATGATGATTAAGACGTCATATTGGTCATGGTTACTGTCAAAACACCCGTATTCACAAACGATGCTTGCTTAAGTGAAGCAGCAACGATATACGGAGTCGAACGCACAGCGTTGAATAGAGCTCTGTGATTGGTTTGTGTGTATCATTCTACCACTCAAGTTATGTCTATGAATAGGTCTTTGGAACCCTGTGCGTCCACGCGCACTGTGACTTGTGAGACCACATAGTAATTGTTTGTGAATATGGGTGAAAGTCATCTGTGATAACTTTTAAATCCTTGAATTTTTAGCGCTTGTTCCCAACCAGTCATACCGAAACGTGTAACACTGTTCGTTTCAACCAAATGATTTCAACCACCATGAATTCAACCATGGATTTCCACAACGACCAGTCCTGGCACCTCCCGCGACCTTCACCAGATCTTCTGTCCACCTAGTGGGGGGCCTGCCCGCACTACGTCTTCCGGCTCGTGGTCGCCACTCGAGATCTTTTCTGTCTCAGCGGCCATGAGCTCTGCGAGCTATGTGCCCCGGCCACTGCTGCGATTTTAGCGATTCTTATGCCATTTAGTGGAAACTTTTAAATCCTCGACTTTTTAAGCGCTTCTGGATGGGATCCAGTCACACCGAAACGTGTAACACTGTTACTAGTCGGGAAAAAATCCCATCGAGTCACGCTGTTACTCGTTAGGTCAATTTTGTTTACGTATTTTCTCAAATGGTCACACTAACCTGTATTTTATTATAGTCAGCTTTAGATTAGGTAAGATTTTTATTTTTGTACATTGTTTCTTAATATTTTTAACGAGATCTCATATATCATGACATTAAAGGTATTTAATGTGTGAACCGTTGTTAAGATAGGTAAACAAATGTCCCAACGAGTGACAGTGTGACTTTATGATATTTTTTTCCCACGTGTTCACGTAGTTTCGGGTCTATCTGGCAGCATAGCTCATGCTGTCGTTTCGCTTTGCGTGAGAGGGATAGCAACATTCGAAACTACGGATAACGTTTTCGGAGTAACCCTGCTGCGCATTTACATCGATTCTGCATCGCGATTGTATCGCTGCTTTTAGTAACGCGTATGTTTTTGACTTCAAATACTGATTTATCTATCAAAATGGGATAAAATAAAAGTCGAAATCAAATTAATACATTATTTTATTTTATTTTAACTTTATTCAATCCTCCTCATCCACGTCGTCACCGTCGCAAGCGCCGTCTATCTCGCGGAACTCCACGTTGAAGGTCACGCAGCCGACCTCCTGCTGGTCCTTGATCAGGTACGCCGTCGCCCCGAACTTGCCGTACACCCCGTCAGTCGGCAGCTGGCAGTAGTTACGGTTTGATGCAAGTGTACGAGAACTATCAGCAACCGCGCGATTATCGCTATGTCTGAACCAGGCCTAAGTGTTATTTTAGAGAAATGTGGGCAGTGGGCGGGACACATAGCTCGTAGAGACGATGGCTGTTGGGGCAGGAAAGTTCTCGAGTGGCGACCACGGGCTGGAAGACGTAGCGTGGGCAGGCCTCCTACTAGGTGGACTGACGATCTGGTAAGGGTCGCGGGAAGAGCCTGGATGCGGGCAGCGCAGGACCGTTCATTATGGAAAACCTTGGGGGAGGCCTTTGTCCAGCAGTGGACGTCATTTGGCTGAAACGAATGAACGAACTATGCTTTTTTGTCATCTTCAGAATGGGACAAAATAAGACTTAAAATCACATTAAAACACTTGTATTATCAATTCTATTTTATTTTATTTTATTGGAAAACACAACAGATTACATCATTTGGTTAGATTAATACTTAATTTACAATGGTGTTAAGCAAGATAGTAATCCTATAACGTGTTTCCACGGCATGCTAGTAATGAGAAGCAGACTTATAGGGTTAGTAAAAATTACTTATACTATTGATATTAATAATTAAATTAGGGTAAAAATAATAAAATTAGGGTCTAGGGATATTCTTGAGGATGTCTTTTAAAGCCATTCTGAAACGACGCGGGTTAGAGTTGAAGATGTCAAGGTCAGAGAAGCGAGGACTGTAATCCTCGTAGAGTCGACATAATCTAGCCAGAGGCTGGTTGTGTGATATATTGTTGTGAAAAAGGGGTATGTCAAATATTTTTGTCATTGGTCTACGGGGATTGTGTTTAATGGTAAATTGTAGCAGTTCTAAGATCTCAGGGCTGTCAAGTTCCGAGTGCACTATTTTGTGCAGATTCACTAGGTCCATCTCGGCGCGTCGGAGGTGAAGTGGAGTTATGTTAAACTCATTAAGTCTCTGTTCATAAGATCGAAGCCTCCTGTTATTGCCAGTGCGGAAACTCAGTAAACGTAAAAACTTAGACTGGATGGATTCGATGCGTTCAGAATGCACAGCATAGTGAGGATTCCATATTATTGAACCATATTCCAAGTTGCTACGAACCAAGCTATTATACAGTAGAATTAGACTTTTGGGATTCTTGAAGTTTTTGCTTTGTCTGGTAACGAAACCTAGTATCTGGTTTGATTTTTTTACTATTTTATCGTAATGTTGACGGAAACTAAGNGATGGTTTCATTTAATTTATTTAAACCAGGTTACCTATAATAATATTTTTTCGTTAATTTATGAAAATATTAAATTAGCCCGTAATCCTGATACATAAAGTTAGCCTATTAATTTAACACAGGTACGACTGTACTCAGTGTTGCACTATCAAATGCAATTGAAGCGCCTCTATGCCAGGGTTTTTATGTTCCTGATCAGGCTATAATACCCGTTTTCACCATCAATCCCTAATTTTTAAGTGACCCCATATGGTAACACATAACAGGAATTTTGTTTTCAAAGGGGACTCATTAAAAATAGGGATTGATGGTGAAAACGAGCATTAGTCGTCTGTCTGTGAGTGTCTAAGAGCTACCGCAGACATAGGCCCGGTTTCCACTAAAGCGGACCGGAGTTAAGAAAAGGTTTGAATAAACAATCAGACATAATTATTAAGGAAACCAGGATGCAATATTAGTAGGATAAAAAGTTGAATATCTCATTTATAGGATCTGAAAAAATCCTAGACTAACTTACAGCATTACAATATTGGTTATTAAAAAAATATATATATCTTTTGTCGGCCGATAGTTTAGTCGGGCTGTGAATCAGTGAACGTGTATGGAAGTGCGCACATTATTCCAATTTTGTATCGGCCAGTTCACCTTAAAATTGGTATAGTCCAAAGCCATAGTCTGCGGAGAGTCACCCCCTTATTAATAAAAGTAACACCTTAGTTGCACTCTGGTCAAAATTGTCATTTAGTTCGTTCGTTCGTTCGTTCGTTTCAGCCGAAAGACGTCCACTGCTGGACAAAGGCCTCCCCCAAGGATTTCCACAAAGACCGGTCCTGCACGACGCTGCCGGCTGCGACGATCTGGTGAAGGTCGCGGGAAGTACCTGGATGCAAGCGGCGCAGGACCGGTCTTTGTCATTTAGTACGGAAATGTAATAATCCATAGTTCATCCTAGGTGTAATTTTTTATTGATAAGGGGATTAAGGTGTAGGTTGATATTAAATGCAATAGTAGAAGGCATAAAGTCACCGCGACATTTGGAGTCTATCATCACTGCGACTGGTATCAAACTAATGTGACCATCCTTCGATAACGATTCGCTTCCGAGTTCTGCATCTATTATGTAGTGCAGCATCTTTTGCGTTAGGTACTTACTGCATCTAACGGAAACTTTGGGGGGTCAATGCCAGCCATTTTCAGCGCCTCCTCCACATTTTCCTTCGCGAATTTCTCGACGAAATGTATGAAACTTTCGTCGCTCATGACTTGGTACGGTTTGCAGCCGCCGTCCACAAACTTGCATATGTCTATGCGAATCTGGAAACACGAGGACAAACATATTTCAAGATAGTATATTACCTTTCCATCATGAAATTCGTGGCGCAACTTTACGATTACTGTTTCTGTTAACAACTCTTATTTGGGTGCTGTCAACGTGCCGCCTTCGAGCCAGATAAAAACTATCGATTTAAAATATTTTCGTCATTTAATTTAAAAGTGATTACCGCTATATTATTTGAGCAGCATTAAATTAATCATCAGAGCCGATCCATGGAAGACAAATAGAGAATAAAGTTTTGTTAATTAAGATAAGACACAGTTAGCGAATTTGAAATAAATAATATCTGGAACTATTGAACTCATTTTAAAAAAAATCTTTAAAGTAGCAGACTATATGTCTGTAACAAGGGCGACATTCTCGCAAGCGAGTCCGAGGTTAAAAGCTAGTAACAGCAATAATCGCATTTGATTAACTTACGGCATAGTTGTCGTCTAAGGGATTCTTTAGAGTTATATTGGCGTTGTAGCAGTCCTGGTCCCGCGTCAGTTTCTTCCGTTGTATGAAGTACTGCTGCTCGTACTGGTCGTTGTTATCGCACTGTGCGATGCTGAGCACGTACCATCTGCCGGGACCCTGGCCAAAGGAAAACACTCCATATTCATTAAAATTATATAATTTTATTGTGGTTAAGTAAACCTCCGCCATGAGGGTGTATGAGGCGGTGGGTAACGTACAACCGGGTCGTATGAACTGCGCACCCGGCAGCCGTGACGTCACATCGATGCTCTTGTAAGGACGGGGCCAACGCGGGGAGTTGTGCGGGCAAGTGGGAATGATAGTCGCATTCCAGCGAGGTGCGCATTTAGCTCGTTCGTTTCAGCCAAATGACGTCCACTGCTGGACAAAGGCCTCCCCCAAGGTTTTCCACAATGAACATTTAGCATTTAGTTCGATCGGGTTGTAATAGTGTATTTCCATGGCACAATGCAGATAGATTTTTGTGCCAGAATAACAAAAGTGGTTATTTTTTTGTATTAATTTTTAACATCCACAACGATTCTAAGATATATGCTTCACCATTGACTAAAGTTTTTCTTCTCGTATCTATTCCAACATTGTATAATGATTTCGTTGTTAAAATCACTGATTGAACGTGATATATTTTAATGGCTCCTAGTCAACTGGTTCCTAGTATTGAATTTCGCATATTGGCACTTGCCACATGCAAATTATTTAATAAAAAATATTAAATTCTATCTCACAATCATATTATCTCCCATCCCTTTCACAACGATCACCACAGCGGCTAACACAGTACAGCAAACTAGGAATTTGATCATTTTGCCGGCTAGTAACTAAAATAACTGAAATTATGGAGGTGCTACATTGGAATAAATACGCCGTCTCACATGAGAAGTGGCAGTTTGATGATATCAAGTGATTTTATCACAAACGGGTGATGTAAAATGATTTTTTTCCGCTACAATGATTCTGTAGGCAATGACATAAGCACGCAATTCCAGTGTTTACACCATGTTATGTAAAAGAAACTTGTTAATGTTAGTTCCTGGTTATTATATTTTGTTGCCATCGTTTTTATGGGTTGGGCACAATTTGCTACATGTAATTTTTAAACCCATGCGAGTAATAATGGAGATACGTGCAATTTCTTGAACTTTTTTAGTTATCTCTCTTTTGATACGTCCTACACTAAGGTTGCCAAGTCGCGGAGACAAATCAGTTTATTTAGAGGGATTCCCCGCGCGTAGACACTTAAGGACGAAACATGAGGTATACATGAAGCATACAATTTTCAGAGAAGGGTCCATGCTACTGTCACTTCAGTAATCCTAATGATGTATGGTTAATTTTCACAATAATTGTTACAGACTGATGAACTGTGCGCTGCAGTCGGCCACTGCACTGGACGAGCACTCCATAGCGGCGGCCATGTTGCCTCTAGCCACTGCCTACTGCAGAAAACTGTGCACCGGGGTCATACAGTACGCATACATGTGCATACAGGTCAGTGGTAAAGGATCTATGCCTTTTGTTTGACCATGGTTAACTGGGATTGATTAGAAATGTCCGCTGTAAGCCACTGCACTAGAGAAGCATTCCATAGCGGACTACGTAATGACGAAACTGTGCACTGGGTAATACATTACGCATACATGTGCATAGTATGTGTCTTTAGACCACCGTCGTCTAGCTAGATTGACTAGAACTGTGCACTGCAGTCGGTCACTATACTGGACGAGCACTCCATAGCGGCGGCCTTGCTGCCTCTAGCCACTGCCTACTGCTGGAAAGTGTGCATACAGTAAGCGAACCTGTGCATATACGTCAGTGGCACAGGATTTATGCCTATTGACTACGGTCATCTGGGATTGAGTGCCATCTGCTGAAAACTATTGCTAAATAACTTACGAATGAGTCAACAAGACTAAAGATGACACCAGTTTTCTGTGTTCAAGTCTTATGAAGTAATTGTCTCACAGGAGCACCCAGTGTGGACCAGTCAGCAGTTCTGGGAGGCGGCGTTCTACCAGGACGTGCAAAGAGACATCAAGGCGCTATACCTGCCCAGTCCCACGCATCACCAGCGGGTCCCCAGTCCCAGGTATGAACCTTATGTAATTGTAATAGATTCTGTTTTGCAACAAACATTTATGTATGTGCTCTCGTTTGTAAAAAGGAAGACCGGGCTTTGTGATATGGCTTATGTACGTACAGTATAGATCGTTTCATCAATGAAGACGCGCCCCACCAATTTTTGATCAAGGGATATGCGGGGTGCGAGGAATTTGATCCGAGCAATCCGTCATTAGTATTGTAGTGTGCGTATACACTGTACACTAATGGATGATTGATTTAGCGTGTAACGATAACACTCAAACATTTACGGAAGAAGGTTGGGCACGTTTTCGTGGATGAAACGATCTATACTGGCTATTGGGTGAAAAGATGATTATGTGCACATATCTATTAAAGTACGTGTAATTAATATGATAATAACGGGAACTATTTATTGTAGGGACGACGACGACTACATTTCTCTACTGAAAGCGCAAGAGCCCAGCGCGTTAGAGATTGCAGCGGAACAAATGAGACTGTGGCCCACACTCCCTCCAGGTAACATTCAAACGTGTATATTAAACTTACACTTGATCGATATCATCCTACTAATATGTGTGGATGTCTGGATGTTTGTTACTCTTTCACGCAAAAACTATTGAACGGATTTTGATGAAACTTTACAGTATTATTGTTCATAACCCAGAAAAATATAGGCTATAATTTATGACGATCTGTGACAAACGAAATTTCACGCGGGGGAAGCTGCGGGCAAAAGCTATATTAAATATATGTTACGGTTAATGTGATAAATTGAAAATTATTAATGATAACCGGTTATTATGAATAATTACCGACAGTCGCGGTGAAAGTGATAAATTAATCACATTTAACAGTGATTATTTAATAATTCAACCTTAGTACTAACAAATTTCATAAAAGAGAACAACATCTTGTGTACAGCCAAACTTTAGAACGTTTTGATATCATATATTATTATAATTTGGCATAATGAGTTTGGAATGTTTCTTGCATAATATTACATTTCCATAATGCCTTTAACATAATGTTTTGATTTATAGTGAAAAATAGATTAAGGTGCGGCGGGGGTGGCCCTTGGGCCACCCCTTAGCCGCCTATTTAGTTTTATACACACATAAATGACCTCATATTAATCACATTCACCAAATCATGCGGTAATTATTCATAATAACCGGCGATTATTCATAATTTTCACATTTATCACTTTGACCGTAACATATACACCATTTATTGAGGAAGTATACCTGTTTCTTTAAGTTGACATCTAAAGAAACTTCTCCCTTTTCCAGAAGTTACTAACAAATAATAATAATAATATAATAATAATTTTTATTTCAATATAAACCTTTTACAAAATCTTTGACAATGGAATCACCCTTTAGGCATAAGGTGTACGCCTGTGTTAGGTGATACCGCTCTTCCCTAGCCTCGTAGNCAGTGGTGTTCCTGACCAATTTAGGGTTGCCGTATTCTAATTCTAAAATTGCCGGATTTTTAAGGAAGAAAATTGCCGTATTGTATAAAATGTTTATTTGGAAGGTTTACATTTAAAAAAATACAAGTGATGTATTATGTAGTATGCGTATACTACTTTAAAACTTACTTATTTTATTCTTCACTTTTTAAGGTTTTGAATAATTTAGTCCAAGAACCTACCCGAATAAAAGTGAAGAATCTACCAAAATGAGGAAATAACGATTTTAGACATTAAAATCTCGGAGATAAGGTTGCATTTTTGGCGTTTCTTTTGGTGGCGCTTCTACTTCATCTATGGTTTACAAGTTTTTGCGTTCCATTATACGAAATATTTATTTTTTGTTTACAAACTCATGAAAAACTCATAAAACTCTACTTTACTCAATTGCCGTATATTTTGATACGGTAATCAAAGTGCTGCCGTATACCGTATTTATGGTGCCTAAGATGCCTGAATGCCGTATATTACGGCAATTGCCGTATCAAGAACAACACTGAAGGCGCATGAGCGGTAATTGAAAGTTAGTTGAAAAAAGTTCTGGGCTGTAGTCGCCATGTTTATTTTGGGTTATCAAAAGGCGCGTGGGCGCTACGAGGCTAGACAAATATAATGTAGGTAGGTATTTTGTATAGAAGTGTGTGTATGTATGTACGTATGTGTATGTTTATTTGTGTGTGGGGGTGTGTGTGTGTGCGTGTGTGTATATGTGTGTGTATGTGCGTTTGAGCGTGAAGGATGTAAGTATGAATTTGAGTGTGTAATGGGTATATGTGTGTTTGTATGATGTGTAATGTGTATGACGATTTATAATGTATTTGCAATGACGAATTCCGTCTCTTCATAACTTAAGTTTTCAAGCCATTTCAAAATTAATTTTTTGCACTGATAGAACTGTTTGTCATATATATGTAGAATTTTATTTACTTTGTTATATAAAATAGCGGATCTGACTGTGTATTGTGTTTTATAGAATTGCGTTTTTGTTATTGGAACCTGAAAAACTAGATACTTTCTCCTTTTAGTGATGATGGAGGGATTATAGGATACTTCTTTGTGTTTCTTTAAAATTACATGAAGCAGAAATATGTTCATAATCAACAACAAAATTGTTTAGTGGTTAAAATCCCCAACAGTTCACTAAAAATTGAGCACGCACTGTACGACGGGCGACCGCAGTGAGTGTGCGAGTGCGACAGCAACATAATTACGCGCGAGCGATAAGGATGGGTAGCTTGGGATCATTGGACAAAATTTTACGTGCTCACGGACCAGGCTTTATACATCCTATAATCCCTACGCAAAAAGGATATAAATATCCTCACCATAAAATAATACAAACAAAATAAACGCCTTTGTCCTCAGAAAAACAAAAAGAACTTATAGCAAGCGAAGAGTCCACCTTATACAGCCAAGCGATACACTACGCCAACCGGATGGTGTATCTACTTCTGCCGTTAGAGGGCGCCGGCCGCCGCGCTGACGTCAGAGGGGACGATGACAGAGCAAGCAATAGTATTACTAACAGGTGAGATTAATTTCGTTGCGGGTCCAATGACAGTTTAACTTTCCCCCGGGACAAACTTGACCTTCATTGGTTGGGTTTTTGTGGCGGTCAAGCTGTAGATCCTGGCTACACAGGAGTTGCAGTGGTGGGAACGAGAGGTGGGAATAACAGGTGAGAGAGACATACACTTAGCAAGTTGGTGAAGCAAGCGATACACTATGCCAACCGGATGGTGTATCTTCTGCTGCCGTTAGAAGGCGCCGGCCGCCGCGCTGACGTCAGATGCGACGATGACAGAGCAAGCAATAGTATTACTAACAGGTGAGAGAGAGACACACTCTTAGCAAGTTGGTGAAGCAAGCGATACACTATGCCAACCGGATGGTGTATCTTCTGCTGCCGTTAGAAGGCGCCGGCCGCCGCGCTGACGTCAGAGGAGACGATGACAGAGCAAGCAATAGTATTACTAACAGGTGAGAGAGAGACACACTCTTAGCAAGTTGGTGAAGCAAGCGATACACTACGCCAATCGGATGGTGTATCTACTGCTGTCGCTAGAAAGCGCCGGTCGCCGCGCTGACGTGAGCAAGCAATAGTATTACGTATAGGTGAGCGTCATATTTTTGCAATCCGAATACCTATACTAGGGTAGTGGATAATCCGCAACCTATTTAGGGCCACTACCACTCTTTTCCATACAAAAAAGACAAGGAAGATTGAACGATAATCTCATAAGAACTCTTAGCATTCACTAATGAGAAAGATTTCATTGTTTTTTGGAGAGCAGGCAGAGGGCACGTCGCTTGCAGGTACTGTGTCTAAGTGCTCAGGGTCCATGCGAAACAGGAGGGGCCTGAGTGGACACCTTAGTCTGTTGACATATTTTTATGAGCTGTCAAAACGCGACTTCAAAGAGTTTGTATGGCAATGGCTATGACGTCATCAGGATAAAGTTGTGTCTTGGGTATTGGTATCAAGTGCCAACTACCCACCTTGTAGTTTAGTTGTGGTTGGAATGCAGTTACATGACTGTTTATTTGCTGTTCAACTGTAGTTATATGACTGCTCACCTGCTTTCCAATGGGAAGTATGGGATACGCAGTAGGCTCTCGTCAATATGCAAGCATCAGTTGGTAATTTATTTATACAAGTTTTAATTGACTTGTTTATCAAATTAATAATTGACAGTGTGGCGGAGTCAGACAGTGCGGACGCCGAATCGGGCTTCGAAGAGGCGGATCCGGGCGAGGCGGGGAACAACGTCATCAGGATGGTCTCCCGGTTTGTGGACAAAGTGAGTATCGTAATGTTAATTTGTTAAATATATGGCAAAGACCCGAAGAATTTCATAAAACCGTGAAAGTAAGATATTTTTAGATACAGGTCTAGCGAATAAGTGAGTCAGTGTTTTTGTGACGTCAAATGTCGGCAAGATTTTTCGTTCTTAAGACTTGTATGCTTTGTCAAGTAATACGTCTGTGGGGGTGTCATGTTACTTGGTACGTGCAATCCTTAACGTCTCTCCTGTGCCGATCTCATACTTAAGGCACTGAATTGGCATAAATCAGACCTGTAATTTTATAAGCAAACCAATAATATAATTAGTGAAAGGTAAATCAAATCTTTTTTCACTTTCAATCACAGACTTGTAATCTTTTTCTATACTTACGGAAAATTCGCCGTCTTGATAAAACCCTTGGAACGTTTTTTTGTGTTTGAGAGAAATATATCTGGCAATTAAAAAAAATGACTTTAGATCTGTTCAAGTAAAGCCTATCTCTGTAGGAGCTTTGACCGCTTGTCAAATCGACGAAGAATAAAAAAAATATATTTGTCCTCGAGCCCTCGACATTATTTAACGCTATTATTTATTATTTATCGTAGGTGTGTACGGAAGGCGGCGTGACGGCGGAACACGTTCGCTGTTTACATCAGATGGTGCCGGGAGTGGTCCATATGCACCTGGAAACTTTGGATGCTGTCGCGAGAGAAAGTCGGCGGCTACCGCCTGTTCAAAAGGTATGTTCTCGTCTCTTACCATCTCGGTCAAGCATGCTCCTACATTAAGGATTTGCCACACTGGTTACGTTGTGCGGTCTGCGGTCAGGTCAAAGTGATCTGATTTGTCAGCGATCGCGACAAAGCGTGTGGCGTGCGAACTTTGCTCGTGCCCGCGCGGTTAGATCGCATCGATACAGAGTGCACAGAGTGCTAGAATGTTGTTCGTACTTGATCATACATGATACGAAAAACGTTCACTTTGACCAGACTGCAGACCGCAGAACGCATCCAGTGTAGCAAATCCTTATCTTATTCATTATCACTACAGTTTTATGTGTTTGTTTGAGAAGTAGTCTCCGCGTATTATTAGTTAAAATATAAACATATACTTATACGTTGCGTGTTGTTGCAGCCTCGAATAGTAGCCCCGACGCTGGTACCAGGCGAAGCATTAGCGGGCCCGGCGCTGCGAGCCTTCCTGGTACCAGATGGCCGACCCGCGCCGCTGCTACCGGCAGAAGGCGCACTGTTCCTCACCAACTATCGCCTAGTGTTCAAGGGCACACCTACTGACCCCTTCGGTAAGTGATACTCAGCTTTATTAACACACCAGTAGGGTCTGGATTTAAAGCACGGCGCTGCGAGCCTTTCTAGTGCCTGCTGCCGTCAGAAGCTCACCAACTATTGCCTTGCGTTCAAGGGCACGCTTACCGACCCCTTCGGTGAGTGATAATCGATCTTATTGACATACGAGTAGGGTCTGGATTCGTTGCAAACCTTCTTGGTGTCCAATGGTCGGCCCGCACCGCTGCTACCGGCAGAGGGCGCACTGTTCCTCACCAACTACCGCCATATGTTCAAGGGCATGCTCACTGACCCCTTCGGTGAGCGATACTCAACCTTATCGTCATAGGGTAAAAAAGAGCGTTTGTTGAAAGCCTAATATGTCTTACAGTAGACTGCAATAGAGTGATGATGATGATGTATTTAGGATAACGTCCTAAATACATGATGATGTGATGATTATGGAATACCAATGGAAATTAAATTAATGAAATGAGCCTATAGTCTTCTGTATATTTCAATCCGCTTATCGTTCTATTTGTTCCAGCCTGCGAACAGACGGTGGTCAGATCGTTCCCTCTGTGTTCGTTGACGAGGGAAAAAGCAGTCCGAACGCACTACCTGCCGCATTTAGAACAAGCTTTACACGAAGGCTTACAACTGCGGTCCGCTACCTTCCAGCTGATCAAGGTAAACCCTTATCTGAAGTACAAATTTTGGTGTTAGGCCTGCTCTCCAGAGAAGCGTCGCTTTATAAACGCGTTTTCATCATCTTATGCCAGCTATAACTATAATACATATTTGTCGATGCAGCAAGCCTGAAAGAACTGGGTTTGATCTTGCTGCTCGCATAAAAAGACGTATATTGTAATTCTTTACATATTATAACCTGCATAGATTCAGTTGGGTCACTACCTAACGCCGTTTATGCAGTTTCGGGTCTGCTTTGTTTTGCTCTGCTCGTTGATGTTCAGCTAGCGTCGTCCATGCTGGCATCTTTATTTACATGAAAGGAATAACCCCGCTGGTATTCTCTTTGTCGTTCTGAATCAAATCATCCTTAATAATTCACATCGAACGAAGAAAGAACCATTTGATTGGCTGAATATTGTCGTACCAAAGTCACAAATGTTCTATAGTAGCCTATGTTACCCAGGTGGCCTTAGACGAGGAGGTGAGCAGCGAGCAAGCCGAAGCGTTCCGTAAACAACTCGCCAGGTTACGGCACCCGCAACACCCGTTAATGCACTTCGCGATGGCTCCGCGCCCCGTGCCTCCGCCCGCTGCCCATCAACCCAAACATCACACGCTCAAGTTAGTATCGGGACTATTCCCACCTCTCGTTCCCACCACTGCAACTCCTGTGTAGCCAGGATCTACAGCTTGACCGCCACAAAAACCCAACCAATGAAGGTCAAGTTTGTCCCGGGGGAAAGTTAAACTGTCATTGGACCCGCAACGAAATTAATCAGAAGAACATAGGAGGAGTTCGAAATTAAGGTTCGACTTCCCTCCATTGCAAAGCGGATGACAGGTGACAAACAAAGGTTTAAAACCTTTAAGAAAAGATTATGCACCAATATACACATTGACATGCTCAAGTTAGTATACATCATCATCGTCATCATTTTCAGCCATAGGACGTCCACTGCTGAACATAGGCCTCCCCCAATGATATCCCCAATGAGCGGTTGGTGGCGGCCTGTATCCAGCGCCTTCCCGCTACCCTTATGAGTAATAGTATACTGTACATTCTTTGTCAACGAAAAATATCTCACAAGAAATGCTGTCGTCAAATTCCCCCACTATTTCTTTATTTTGATTAAATTAATATCTTACAAATTAATACTCATTTCAATCAATCAATTTATTGTATATTTCAATATTCATTTGGCTAACCCCTAGGCCACACAAATCGCAACAACATTCGGGCGACAGCGGAGCGATGTCCTTGTGAGAGTTCTAGCTATACCAAAAAATCATCGATGTATACGCGAATACTTGACTACACTTATTGCGATAGCGCGAATCCTCGGGTTATCGCGACATATGTGGCCTAGGGGTTAGCATGATTTTTTAAATTTAAAAACGTATTATTTATTTATTAGAGTTATGTTTTCTGTGCAGAGGTTTTGCGAAAAAGACTTTACTGAAGACAGCGCGGAAAGCGGGGCTCAAGCCGAAGCCGTCCAAACGCCAGAAGTACGTGCTGCCGTCAGCTGACGCGCGGTCGCTGACCTCGCCGCCTCTGATGTCCTCACTTTCAGCGGATACATTGTCGCGTAAGTGTTTATTTGAAATTTAATTTTTATAACAAAAAAAAAGGTTTATTAGACAAACAGACGTAATCCAACAATAGTATAAGAAATGGTTCTCTAGATTTAATGAAAATTGCTGTAAGTCTACCAATAAATATGTATGCTTCCTTACCGAGAATATTTGGCCATTTGGCGAAAACTATATCATCATTGCATTCGGTTGATTTGGTTATCTCTAAATAAAATAAAAATAATTTATTAAAAAAGAAAAAGTTTTCTTGTACTGTATCTATATATTTTTTTCAAATACTCTGATACTCAGTGGTTTGTTCATCTACTACACTGTCTACATTTTTCGGTGTAGGTTGTTGTAAAGGTTTGTTTTTATAAAATGAAAAATGTAGGCTACGATTTAAATCGTGTGCCAAAATGAGCTGAAATCCGCCAAGCTAAAAGAGACTTTATCGCCTGCAGTGGAAGAGCTAGAATTGGCCAGTGAGTCGGGCGAGCCGGCGGCGGGACGGACGCTAGAGAGATTGCGGGACAGAGCGTACGCGCGGGATTGGGCGCGGCTGGGACTGGCTTCGTCGCCCTTCCGGCTGTCCCACGCGAACGCTGTTTACACGTTATGTAGAAGGTAAGCACGTAGTTTATTTTGATACGGTGGACGAGCTAGAATTAGTCGCGGGACGGACGCTAGAGAGATTGCGGGACAGATCGTACGCGCGGGATTGGGCGCGGCTGGAATGGCCTCGTCGCCCTTTCGGCTGTCCCACGCGAACGCTGTTTACACTTTATGTAGAAGGTAAGCACGTAGTTTATTTTGATACGGTGGACGAGCTAGAATTAGTCGCGGGACGGACGCTAGAGAGATTGCGGGACAGTGTATACGCGCGCGACTGGGCGCGGCTGGGCGCGGCTGGGACTGGCCTCGTCGCCCTTCCGGCTGTCCCACGCGAACGCTGTTTACACGTTATGTAGAAGGTAAACGTTTTAAATATGTTTGATTCTATCACTCCTACATAATATCTTGTGGGGTGTTATAACTAAATACACGACCTGTACGTCAGATTTTACGTGAATGTCTATTGAATATCGTAAAAGAACAGTTCGCGTGGACATGGGTGACATATGTACCAATCACAGAGCACTATTCAACGCTGTGTGTTTGATTTGCTGCTTCACAGTCATAAGCAAGCATCATTTGTGAATACGGAAGTAAAAGTTTTAGAAGAGTAGACTACTGGAGTATATTGATATCATTCATATTGTTGCACTTTCTTTCTTGAATACTACCGTTTTTTTAGGAATTAGTGACTTGGACACAGGTGCCAACTGATGAGCGCCGAAGTGGCATAGATCACATTTGCAGTTAGCGTAGAACTACTTTAATGAGGTCTTGCTAGTTATCAGTAGCGAACTAGTGACAGCAAATAGAATAGTCCTCATTGAGTTGGTCATAATAATAAAACTTCTTTTATCTTTGTGACAGCTATGCAGCTGTTCTTGTTTCTACTTTAATGCACTTGAGTTGTTTAAAAATTTAATACTGTATTGTAGCTATAACAATTCTGTATTGTCTATGGCAGCTATCCAGCTGTGATACCAGCGCCAGAGAGCATCGGCGACGAGTCTCTGCGGCGCATCTCTCGCTGCTACCGGCAGGGCAGGCTGCCTGTCTTGACGTGGCGGCACCCCACCACACACGCCATTCTGTCCAGGTAATAAGGTTCATTTTAGCTTGAGGTTTCATTAAGTTAGTGGACTATTATCGCAGATCAGCAGTAGCTGAGAATAAACGCGTGCATTTATATGCAGGCAATGCAGAGTGAAAAAGTGCTGACGGCTTGATTTTAATTATGAGTCATAAAGAGAAAGGGATAGAACAACCTTAGTAGCGAAGCCAGTGCCGTATTATCCATAAGGCACTTTAGGCCAGTGCCTAGGGGCCCACTATGGCCAGGGGCCCACTATGACCAGGGGCCCAGCACTCCCGATTAAAAAATTAAAAAAAAATATGTTAAAGATTATTTTTATGCAACAAAACTCAAACTACCTCAAAAATTCGCCTTATTTTGGTTTACACATTCAATCGTCATATTTCGATATTGTGGAACCTGATTCATTCCACTATACTCTAGGCACTTCAACATCACAGAGTGCCTCAGTACCTTTGAGCGCTGCTGGCCGATTACTCACGGGACCGCGAAGTCCTGTATGTTAACAGAGACCGACAGCTCAAACGGCGCGGCGTAGCCCGCGGGATCCCGCAGGGTTCGGTGCTCGGTCCACTCTTGTGGAACCTAGGCTTCAATTGGGGCCGCGGCACGGCTGGCGTCGGCGGGCGGCACATTAGTCGCTCGCAGAATATGATGCCTCGGCCTGAAAGTCGCGCTGGAGAAAATTGAGGCCCTCTTCTTTCCGGGGCCTCGCCAGCGCGCCCCTCCCGACGCGTTGAGGACGTTAGGATTGACGTCAAAGGCCATATGAAATATCTGGGCCTCACGCTTGACGGGAGGTGGCATTTTAGCCCGCACTTCAACGGGCTAGCGCCATGCTTTCTCAAGGCAGCCGGCGCACTGAGTTGGTTTCTCCCGAATTTGGGAGGGTCACAAACGAGGTGTCGTCGACTTTATGCCGGCGTTCTGAGGGGCATGGCGCTGTATGGCGAGAGAGCACTCAATAAGAGAGAGAATGCTGCCCTTCTGCGCAGACCCCAGCGGGGCATAGCGCAGAGGGTCGCAAGGACCTAACCGCACGGTAGGGCACGCTGCGGCGTGCGTTCTCGCTGGTACTCCTCCTTGGGAGCTAGAAACTGGGGTCTTGTCTGTCATCTATCACTGGATGGCAGACCAGAAGGCGCGTGGAAGGCGCCCGGCCCCGGAGCGGTGCGGCGCCGTTATGAAGACATGACTCGCGCGCATTTTGGCCACCGCACTCTGGACGCCATTGGTCCTGTTCTGGACAAATAGTTGGAACGATCGCACGGGTTCCTCACGTTCCGTCTGGCGCAGGTGCTGACCGGGCATGGCTGCTTCGGTACGTACCTGCATAGAACCGGGTAAGAGGAATCCCCGTGTGCCACAAATGCGCGGCGCGGCGGATGACACGGTGCAGCACACCCTCGCGGGCTGCACAGGCTGCCCGGCTGGGAGGAGCAGCGCCGTGTCCTCACTGCGGTCGTGGGCCGGGATCTTTCGTTTCCGAGCCTGGTCAACGCCATGCTGGGAAACGAAGGATGCTGGAAGGCGGTAGCCTCCTTTTGCGAAGAGGTCCTTCAGAAGGATCCTCTCGCCTCATCGCTCCGCAGGCGGAGAAGGGGGCGGGAGAAGGCGGTTGTACGACCGTTCTACTCTGCCCCCAGGTGGCGGCCAGCAGGCCGGGGGTACGGGGGTACCCTTGACACCTTCGTCTGACGGGAACGGCTTGGCGTTTCGGACATTCCCGTCGGACCCCCGGATACTCACGACACCCCCACTCGGGCTACGACGGAACGCCGCGGAGGTTTTAGTGGGTATATCCCGTCCTTTTCACTTTTTAGGGCGCCGGGAGTCCCACACACCACCCTGTCCCCCGGCAGTGGTGAAAGTGCGCAAAGCATTACCTCCGCGACAAAAAAGGGGGGGCCCGAAACGAGCTGTGCCTAGGGGCCCCGAGATGGTTAATCCGGCCCTGAGCGAAGCCTTTTGATAAAATATAACCATCACATTTACCCTATTCACAAGCAAATGAAGTATTTGTATTAGTTCGATGGCTCTTGATATTTCTTTCCGACAAGCATTTCCAGCATTATCAAATGATTTTCTTCTTATTCGTTTTGCTCTTGGCAGAGCAGTCGTAAGAAATGATGGCCGTATTAGAAAAATATCAACCTAATACCCTTAACATTAAGGCCTTAGTTTTACTTACTCACTTCTTATCCTATTGGACTATTTTGATTCGTACTATACCTTTTTGTGTTCAGATCAGCAGCGTCCCATCACAAAGGCGTCATGGGCATGCTGAAAGGGACGCATCAAACCCCCGGCCCCACGCAAAGTGGCACCGAAACCACATCTAGTTTAGAACAGGTAACAAACATTGTTTCAGTTCATATTTTTGCAATAAAGATTGTCGACGAATATCCCTCGTATCGCCATCGTGGGCTAGTTAGTTTCCTAAAAAAAACTTTTTATTTATCAATCAAACAAGTATTTACGAAACTTTGAAGTTGCGCGTGACGTCACAAAGCGCTACACTTTAAACTACGCCTTGACATCAAGTGCCTCTTCTTTTGAACTTTGGCGCGCTTTATCTCTTTCAATTTTCTTTATTTCAATAAAGGGAAAAATACGTGTCGACTATTTTTTGATTAATTGACGGACTCATTACAACTCTTGCTTTTTTACCCAGGAAACATCCCTATTTTTTCAAATCCAAATATTTTATTCAATTTTTTCAAATCCAAATATTATTTTTATTTTAAATCCAAATACTTTCCAGGGCACTTACACACGTCCTAAATATAGCTTGCCCTAACACCACTTTAGACATCATATGGGCTGGTGCTGAGAAGAAGTGGTGGAAGAAACTCAGTCACCTTTGTCAGTTATTAATGTATTGAAAAAATACATCCATGACTATGCTCTTACTCCGAGTATGGATGGTCATATTGCTCATGTTTTTCTACTCAAGACTAACTATTTTTACGTTTCCAACAGGAACGGTACTTAGCAACGTTAGTGGCTCTAACCCCAGCCTCCAGAGGTGATCTGGAGGACTCGTCACTCAGTCTGGACTCTCTACTGCTCTGCTGCGACGACACCCAGCCACCTACGCATACTCCGCTGCTTACCAAGGCAGCTGGGACGTTGAGGTAAGCACAGGACCGCTGGTGTATGCATGCATTGGAACGATTTCTAGTCACGTTTTGGATCTAACTCTAGCATCTAAAGTCTCGTTCCCGTGGCAATGCAGTCAAATCTAGGCACTTTTTTCGGGATCCTACATTACTGGATCTATGTTCGTCTTTTTAATAGCAGTAAAAAAGCTTTTAAAACTTATTTCTTATTCAGTGGTCTGCTTCTTTCTAATTAACAACTTTTCTGGAGAGTCATAACAATTAAACTTCTATTGTGTCTGGGTTACTGTCCTGGAAAGTGTTAACTAGTTAATAATTAGCAGTCAGCGCCTGAGGCATGGGAACGGCACGGGAAGGTATTTTTGAGACGTCAAACATCAGCGAGATTACAAATTTCTTTCAGATTTTGATGCTATGTCACTTCACATGTCTATCCTTCCCGTGGCTCTGTCACGTCATAATGTCAATGTCACCCCTCCGTGCCGCTCCCATATCTCAGGCACTGACTCAGTTACGCAGTAGACTTATAGCAACGTTTCGTGCGCAGTGTGCTTCGCAACAGCGGGGGAAAAGGGGGCGTGGCCACGGGCGCGGGCGCGGCCACCACGGGCCGGCACTTCGGGCGCTGGGGCTCCCTCAAGGACCGCCGCCAGCCGTCCCATCTGGACCTGTACGCGCCGAGACAGCGGCTGTCCACTGCCGACGTCGACTCTGGTATGGACTGTTCATTAGGATGCGGTTTTTTTGTTAACTTCTGTCTGGACACTGCCAGACCATTGATCCTCATTCGGTCACAACATGTTGAAAATCTTTATCAGTTTTGAACCTTTTGATAAGTTATTAAAATACAAATTATGGTAGCAATAATATGGAAAAAGCCATGTGAAGAGTCAATTCTTTCTGAGACTGATCCAACCGGGAAAACGATGAAAATGCCAAATGCGTTCTTGATAGGCTGTCTTGAACTTGAACTGACTTTGTAATTCATATGCCGCGAAAGCTTTAGTCTACAAACTAATTACTCGTAACTTTTGTTGGAGCCAAATACAATCACTATTTACATGTAAATTTTATTTGTTTCTGACTATTTGTACACTTTAAAATGTTCAAAACAATAACCAATCTGATTTATCTTTTATGTTCAGTCTCCGGCGACACGGGCGTAGCGCGGCGCGCATCCTTATACGTGGTAACAGAAAAGGGCGTGGCGTGCGCATTAGCGGGCACGGAGTTAGTACCAGCGGAGTATCCCGAGGCGCGCCACGCCAAGCACGCCTTCAAGAAGCTCATGCGCGCCGCCGTGCCTTCCGCGCCGCCTGCACAACTGCCCGACCATAAGGGGTTCCTGAGGTCAGTGATATTACGTCATCAATTCATTTAGTTTCTACTTCAAGAAGAGGATTTGGCTTACACCACAAGGGCTTCCTCAGGTTAGGCTCGTGTCTCCCGCGAGACACCATTAGCACGTCTTCAAGTTTAATCCAATTATCAGGTCATTTAGACTTCAATGCACGAGTTTGACCCTCTAAATCAGAAGATCTGACCTAAATAAGAGGCCTCCACCTAGCAAATGGAGGATTTTGCCTTTGTAGTGACCAGGGTTTCCTCAGGTCAACCTCTGGTGCACTACAGAGCACCACTAAGGACGTCAGTCTTGTTACGTCATCACTATCAGGTCTTTTAGTCTCCACGAGCAAATACTCTGGTCAGGCTCATGTCTCCCGTGAGATAGCACCAATAGCACGCCTTTAAGAAGCTCAAGCGCCGCCTATGCAACTGTCTGATCATAAGGGCTTCCTCAGGTCAGTCTCGTAAGCATTAGACAGCGCCAATAAACGGGAAGAACAACGTCGCACGTTAACAAATGTCTCGCAAGCGCCACTAAGTTGCCAGGAGAGCAGTGCCGCGCAACGCGTGAGAGAAGGTGACATGCTCCTGTGGACGACTCGACGGCTCTTGGAATTAGAACCACACTTCACCTCGTCTCGCCAAGTTTGCGCTGTCTCTTTAGACAAGCGTGTTAGTCCCCGCGGAGTACCCGGAGGCGCGCCACGCCAAGCACGCCTTCAAGAAGCTCATGCGCGCCGCCGTGCCCTCCGCGCCGCCTGCACAACTGCCCGACCATAAGGGCTTCCTCAGGTGAGTCGAGTTACCATAATGTCGTCATTTAGTTTCCACAGGAGCGTCACTCACTCTTGACTTACCAGAGGCAAAAGGAGGATTTGGCATACACCACAAGGGCTTAGGTTAGGCTCGTATCTCGCGGGACAGAGCAGGTCAGGCTCGTATCTCTCACGAGACACACCAGGTCACGTTCGTATCTTCCGCAAGACAGCACCACTAGCACGCCTTCAAGATCATAAGGGCTTCCTGAGGTCAGTGTCATAAAGTTTTCGATGTCAGGTCATTTAATTTTACGCCCGTATTCACAAACGATGCTTGCTTAAGTCAAGCAGCAAATGGAACGCACAGCGTTGAATAGAGCTCTTTCACTGGCTCGTGTGTCACCCTGTGCGTCCAACGCGCACTGTGAGACTCATTGTAATGTTTGTGAATACGGGTGTAAGTCTCCACTGCAGGAGTACGACTGCCTAAATTGGAGGGTCTGGCCTAAATAAGAGGCCTTTACCAAGCAAATGAAGGATTTGGCTTCCTCAGATCAATCTCTGGCGCACTACAGAGCACCACCAAGGACGTCGGTCTCGTTACGTCATCACTGTCAGGTCATTTCGTCTTCACAAGCAAATACTCTATGGTCAGGCTCGTGTCTCCCGCGAGACAGCACCACTAGCACGCCTTCAAGAAGCTCATGCGCGCCGCCGTGCCCTTCGCACCGCCTGCACAACTGCCTGACCATAAGGGCTTCCTCAGGTCAGTGACACGTTATCAGGTCTTTGTATATTATTATACCACAAGGGCTTCCTCAGTTCAGGATCGTGTCTCCCGCAAGACAGCACCACTAAAAAAGATGGGATACGTCAGTCAAAGGACGTCACTTATATAAATTCTTCCCGAATGTACGCGAACGTCTAACTAGGCGATGGTTAGAAATCGACCATTGCTCGTCGCAGTTCCTCACGGGACATGGCAACTTTAAACATAAACTTCACGAATTCAAACTAGTTCCGTCTCCTTTTTGCGAGTGTTCCACTGATGATGTCTGTCATGAGCAGTCTGCCCATCATATCTTGTGGGAGTGTGATCTTTGGAAACATGAACGTGATATAATGCTTAATTCAATACAACATACATCTGTTTCCGCAATTTATTACACCGATCTTGTCGCGACAAGGAAAAATTTCCGTGCTTTTAAGCGATTTTGTGAAAAATATTATTGGCAGGTAGTTGCTAATTGCTCATAAGATAGGCCCCCTTAATTTAATTTATTGTCCGTGGTGCATAATCTTTTTCTTAAAGGTTTTAAACCTTTGTTTGTCACCTGTCATCCGCTTTGCAATGGAGGGAAGTCGAACCTTAATTTCGAACTCCTCCTATGTTCTTCTGATTAATTTCGTTGCGGGTCCAATGACAGTTTAACTTTCCCCCGGGACAAACTTGACCTTCATTGGTTGGGTTTTTGTGGCGGTCAAGCTGTAGATCCTGGCTACACAGGAGTTGCAGTGGTGGGAACGAGAGGTGGGAATAGTCCCGTAAGACAGCACCACTAGCACGCCTTCAAGAAGCTCATGCGCGCCGCCGTGCCTTCCGCACCGCCTGCGCAACTGCCCGATCATAAGGGGTTCCTCAGGTGAGTCGAGTTATCATAATGACGTCATTTAGTCTCCACAGGAGCGTCACTCACTCTTGACTTACCAGAGGCACAAGGAGGATTTGGCATACACCACAAGGGCTTCCTTCGGTTAGGCTCGTATCTCTCACCGAGACACACCAGGTCACGTTCATATCTTCCGCAAGACAGCACCACTAGCACGCCTTCAAGAAACTCAGGCGCGCTGCCGTCCCTTCTGCGCCGCCTGCACAACTGCCAGACCATAAGGGCTTCCTCAGGTGAGTCGAGTTACCATAATGTCGTCATTTAGTTTCCACAGGAGCGTCACTCACTCTTGACTTACCAGAGGCAAAGGAGGATTTGGCATACACCACAAGGGCTTCCTTCGGTTAGGCTCGTATCTGTCACGAGACACACCAGGTCACGTTCGTATCTTCCGCAAGACAGCACCACTAGCACGCCTTCAAGTAGCTCATGCGCGCCGCCGTGCCCTCCGCACCTCCTGCTCAACTGCCAGACCATAAGGGCTTCCTCAGGTCAGTGACAATACGTCATCGGTAGGTCATTTAGTCTCCACTTCAAGAGCACGGCCCTCTAATTCACTAGAGGCAAATAGGATTTGGCATACACCACAAGGGCTTCCTCAGGCCAGGCTCATATCTATACGTGGTAACGGAGAAGGGCGTGGCGTGCGCTTTAGCGGGCACGGAGTTAGTCCCCGCGGAGTACCCGGAGGCGCGCCACGCCAAGCACGCCTTCAAGAAGCTCATGCGCGCCGCCGTGCCTTCTGCGCCGCCTGCACAACTGCCAAACCATAAGGGCTTCCTCAGGTCAGTGATATTACGTCATCAATTCATTTAGTTTCTACTTCAAGAAAAGGATTTGGCATACACCACAAGAGCTTCCTCAGGTTAGGCTCGTGTCTCCCACGAGACACACCATTAGCACGTCTTCAAGTTTAATCTAATTATCAGGTCATTTAGACTTCAATGCACGAGTTTGACCCTCTAAATCAGAAGATCTGACCTAAATAAGAGGCCTCCACCTAGCAAATGAATGATTTGGCTCTTGTCGTGACAAGGGCATCCTCAGATCAATCTCTGGCGCTCTACACAGCACCACCAAGGACGTTAGTCTCGTTACGTCATCACTATCAGGTCTTTTAGTCTCCACGAGCAAATACTCTATGGGCAGGCTCATGTCTCCCGCGAGACAGCACCACTAGCACGCCTTCAAGAAGCTCATGCGCGCTGCCGTGCCTTCTGCGCCGCCTGCACAACTGCCCGACCATAAGGGGTTCCTCAGGTGTATCCAGTCATCATGATGTCATTTATTTAGTCTCCACTTCAAGAACACCTGGTTTACTAGAAGCAAAAGGAGGATTCGCACAGCTACCAGACCACAAGGGCTTCCTCAGGTCAGTCAAGTCATCATCATTGGGTCTTTACTGTTGGAACACCTCTTTCTCCAATTTACCAGACGCAAAAGGAGGATTTAGCATACACCACAAGGGCTTAGGTTAGGCTCGTATCTCGCGGGACAGAGCAGGTCAGGCTCGTATAATCCGCGAGACAGCACCACTAGCACGCCTTAAAGAAGCTCATACGCGCCGCCGTGCCTTCTGCACCGCCTGCACAACTACCCGACCATAAGGGCTTCCTCAGGTTAGTGACAATACGTCATCGGTAGGTCATTTAGTCTCCACTTCAAGAGCATGGCCCTCTAAATCACTAGAGGCAAATAGGATTTGGCATACACCACAAAGGCTTCCTCAGGCCAGGCTCATCTCTATACGTGGTAACGGAGAAGGGCGTGGCGTGCGCATTAGCGGGCACGGAGTTAGTCCCCGCGGAGTACCCGGAGGCGCGCCACGCCAAGCACGCCTTCAAGAATCTCAGGCGCGCTGCCGTCCCTTCTGCACCGCCTGCACAACTACCTGACCATAAGGGCTTCCTCAGGTTAGTAACAATACGTCATCGGTAGGTCATTTAGTCTCCACTTCAAGAGCACGGCCCTCTAATTCACTAGAGGCAAATAGGATTTGGCATACACCACAAGGGCTTCCTCAGGCCAGGCTCATCTCTATACGTGGTAACGGAGAAGGGCGTGGCGTGCGCATTAGCGGGCACAGAGTTAGTACCAGCAGAGTATCCCGAGGCGCGCCACGCCAAGCACGCCTTCAAGAAACTCATGCGCGCCACCGTGCCTTCCGCGCCGCCTGCGCAACTACCTGACCATAAGGGCTTCCTCAGGTGAGTAATATATTGGACTATTCCCACCTCTCGTTTCCACCGCTGCAACTCCTGTGTAACCAGGATCTACAGCTTGACCGCCAATAAAAATCCAACCAGTGAAGGTCAAATCTGTCTGGAAAGTTAAACTGTCATTGGACCCGCATCGAAATTAATCAGAAGAACATAGGAGGAGTTAGAAGTTAAATTCATCCTAACAGCAAAAAGACAGACACATCCCTCATAAATCATAACAAAGTGGTCATTTAGGTCTCCACTGCACGACCTGTTTAATTCACCAGAGACAAATAGAGGGTTTGGCCTTAACCATAAGGGCTTCCTTAATTCGGAGTCATAGAGTCATGGTCATCAGATCATTTAGTCTCCCCTTCACGACTTTTCTAATTCATCAGAGGCAAATGGAGGATTTGGCGTACACCACAAGGGCTTCTAAAGAATTCTAACGCATGTGTTCTTCCCAGGCTGATAGAAGAATCCGGCTGGCTGTGGCAGCTGAGGCAGCTGTTCCAGCTGTCTGGTGCCGTGGTGGACCTGCTCGACATCCAGGGCTCCTCCGTGCTGCTCTCGCTCGAAGACGGCTGGGACGTCACTGCACAGGTATGGATATAGATCTTTTTTTACCAGCGTAAGTGAATAACGGGACTATTCCCACCACTCGTTCCCACCGCTGTAACTCCTGTGTAGCCAAGATCTACAGCTTGACTGCCACAAAAACCCAACCAGTCAAGTTTGTCCCGGGGGAAAGTTAAACTGTCATTGGACCCGCAACGAAATTAATCAGAAGAACATAGGAGGAGTTCGAAGTTAAGGTTCGACTTCCCTCTATTACAGCGTCGTAAAGTGAATAAATAGATCGATCACTCAAAGACCTTCAAGGGAGAAGATTGCTGGACAAAAACCTTTCCCAAGGATTTCCGCAACGACTGCGGACTGATCCTGCGCTACTCTATCCAGCAGCGACCTTCGTCAAGATAGTAGGTCCACCGACTCGGATGCTTGATGATGCCTACACGACGGTTTTTGGTCTTTCTTCAGGCTCGAAATCTCTTCTGCTTCAACAGCTATCAGTTCCACGAGTCATGTTCCACCATTGTTCTTATTAAAATGAATTAAATTTTGTTTTTGCATTGCTATATGGCAACGTGATATTTTCATCGTGTCCCGTAGTAGAGAATAAACACTACCTGATGATATATGCCATAAGTCTTAGCCTAAGCGCAGACCACCGATTTTTCGTCGGCCGATAGATTAGTCGGACAGTAAATCAGTATGGGCATGTTTGGAAGTGCGCACATTACACCGATTTGGTACTGGCCGATTCTTCATACAAATTAGAATCGGGCCCAACTATCGGCCAACTGAAAGTCGGTGGTCTGCACATAGGCTTACTCAACTGTAAGCCACGTGACTAACACCAACCTTCCCCGCAGATATCATCGCTAGCGCAGATCTGCCTGGACCCATACTACCGGACCCTCGAAGGCTTCCGGATCCTAGTAGAGAAGGAGTGGCTGGCCATGGGCCACAAGTTCCAGCAACGCAGCAACATCGCAGCGACGCCGCAACAGGGATTCACGCCCACCTTCCTGATGTTCCTGGACGCGGTACACCAGGTGAGTGGTGGTATTTGATAAACTAACCAGTAAGTTAGCAAATAAGGTTATGTACGTATACGTGACACGTACAGCGGCGTTAGAAAAGTAGAAAACAGTTCGTTCTATGTTACGATTGGAATAATGTATAGTTTGGTCTGCGAGCACGTAGAATTTTGTCCAATGACCCCAAGCTACCCATCCTTATCGCTCGCGCGTAATTATGTTGCTGTCGCGCTCGCACACCCACTGCGGGCGCTCGTCGCACAGTCGCGACAGCAATATAATTACGCGCGAGCGATAAGTATGGGTAGCTTGGGGTCATTGGACCGAATTCTACGTGCTCACAGACCGGGCTTTAGTGTCACGAATTATTTGACGCTAACTGTACGTGCACGTATCACGCACGTATGGTTTTTTAGTACGAGTATAAGAGTAGGCTGTGCGTTCACCATTTTAATCTGATTGCGTTAGGTTAATGTCGGACGTTTGTAAGTGGTTTAACTAAACCACTTAAACTCGTCTTTATGTATGTACTGCGGAGATTAATAAATACTTATTTTCATGTGTGTGATGTGAGCAATAGCGTAATATTTACATAGACTTGTGTACTACTATAACTATTGTGTATTTTGTGTTTTGTGTTTAAAGTGTATTTTCTAGTCTGTTTAATAGCGATCGTCGTGTAGCATCATTCGCAAGGATACATTGGTGAGTCGTAGCTAAATGTAAAGTAAATGCAATGTTGTATTTTTTTTAAATTATTTTGAAAATGTGAACTTATTGTTAAAACATGGATTTTGTTTGAAATCGGTGCTTTAACAATAGTTCAAGACTCTAAAGCTGCTATTAATTCAGCTATCCATAAAACCCATAATGCACCACCATTAGTACAGTCACGGAATGAAAAGGTTCGTCAGTTTTCAAATTGATTCCTTCAACGAATCGCGAGCACATATTACCTTTTGAAACTATGTTACAGAATAATCTTGAGTTAGAGAAAATAATCTTTAACTTTTCGTCAGTAAAGTTCAAAATTATTCAGATGTTGATGTCAAAGTTGTTTGACGATTTATCTTGTCAAGAAGATTATTATGATTGATAAACTAAAACCTTCTTGTTGGTTCAACCTGCCATTATTATTTCTATTAAATAAAAAAAACTATTGTCAATTGGTCAATGTCATCATTGCATTGCACTGATTTTATTTTATTTTATTTTTCTTTATTCAGAAAACCACAGACTGATGGATGATTCAGAAAAAACTGATGGGATAGAAAAATAAACAAGCAAAACCTTATTCGTTAGCAAACGTCATATTTATTTAAATGTTAGCAGCACTGTTTCTTGCACTGTTATGTTGGCAGGTTTGACTCTTACAGTACCTAGTGCAAGCGAAAACCGACACTAAGGTGACGAACCTTTTCATTCCGCGACTGTACATTCAAAACATGTCTCGTGTTGACGTCACGCTTTCTGGCGCAGACGTTCGATTATCAAATGAAAGATTCGTTTAAACTTTTGCGACCTACCACAAGTTAAACACGCGTCGAACAACTGTTTTAAAATGGCATTTTCTTCCATACGTCAATTTAAATTAGTGTTTAACGCGCGTTCAATTTTTTGTGGTTTCTAACAATTTTGCCTTGCCAGGCTTAAACTCAACTTGCTCTTTAGTTAGGACCCCTTAACTTGCAAAATATGTCCGTGGTGCATATCCCTTTTAAATGAAGGTAATAAACCTTTTTGTCATCTGTCTCCTGCTTTGCCTTGGAGGGAAATCGATTATAACCATCGAACTCCTCCTATTTACTTCTGATTAATCGTGCGGGTAGATAGAATTTATCCCCTGGGACTACTCAACCTTCACTGGTTGGGGTTCGTTGGCGGTCAAGCTGCATCTCCTGGCTACACAGGAGTTGCAGTGGTGGGAACGTGTGGTGGGAAAAGTCCCGCAATAATTATATTTATTAAAACTATAATTACATATACCGATTTAATAAGTTTAAGGCGTTTACTTTGGATATTAATAAGAACGCTTTCACATTTAGGCGACTTTAGCAGCGCTGCAAACGCGCTGCCGATAATTTAATATTATATGACAGTTGATGCCTGCCTTCACATTACAAAAACGCCGCTGACGCGCTGCTGTCGCGCTGCTGTCGCGCTTCTAACGCCTTAACCTGAAAGCGCTCTAAGGGATTTTGCTTTGTGATAGTTGTATTTTTTATATACAGGGTGTTAGGTAAATGGGTATATGAGCCGACACTAGCCCATGTTAAAATTGGCATATAAATGGTATGGTGAAGTCAGAATAGTTTCCTTTTCAGCAAGAACTCGAAGCCACTTGGATAAATCTCGAAGACTTTCTCTTCCTTTGCCAAACATGTTCAATTCTGGGCACAAAGAATTGTACATGTTGGCGAATGTTGAGGCATATCATCGTATGTGAACATCAAGATTGTACTCAAGAACATGAAAATAACATGTTTTTTTGTTTCTGTTTTGTGTTTTCTTTTCAGCAAGCACTTGAAACAAACTGAAAACATTTGAAGACTTTCTCGCCATTGGCCTTGTATGCCCAGCTCGATCCGCAACATACGGCAAATAATATTAAATGAAAATGAAAAAACATTTATTCAGTATCTTTGAAGTTAAAATATTGTTGCAAGTGGCTGGGGTCTCCTTTTAAGTATAATACCTGTATTAGGAGGCCCCGCTCTTGAAATGATCAGGCAAATCATCGTATGTAAACACCAAGATTATACTCAAGATCACGAAACAAAGTTTTCTGTGGTTTGTGTCCAACTACAGATCGTTCCATCCACGAAGATGCGCCCACCATTCTTTCGCTAATGCTTGAGTGTTATCGGTACACGCTAAATTATCCATGAGTGCACACGCACACTACAATAATGACGCTCAGATTGCTCGGATCAAACTCCCCGCACCCCGCGCTTCCCTCGACCAAAAATTGGTGGGGCGCGTCTTCGTGGATGGCACGATCTATAATAGTTTTTTCAGCAAGCACTTGAAACCTGAAGACATTTAAAGACATTCTCATCATTTACCTACGAGTGCAATGACATGTTTATTGGAATAGAGAAGTTTCCAATTTTTTTCTATTAATAAAACTTGAAAATATAAGTAAAACCAATAATAATTATGAAAGAATTATGAAAATATCTGAAGTTACAGGTTTTCCAAAGTTGCGCATAACAAATATTTCGCGCTATTTGATCGGTGACGTCACGGAACACCTTCGGAGTACAAACAGTGAATCACCCCTGGTCCAGTGCTGTTAACAGGTCCAATTTTTAAAAACCTCTTTTAATTTTTCAGCTAGTGTCACTCAAGATTCTTTCTTAGTAAAATTTTGTAACCTTTTTTTGGCATATCCCAGACAAAAAGAAGAAGAAGATTTTGACATTAGTGTCATCTCGACAACGTGCCGGGGGTGTTAAGCATTGTGGGGTTGAAACTAGAACGGGTGGCGTGAATCACGGCACCGCCCTATGTTTGAGTTCCACTTGAAAATATGTAGGTAATTTAAATAATTAATTTCTCAGACATTTCTTGATGGATTTAAAAAAAAATTCACCGTCTTTTTAGTTTTGGTCTATATCTAATCCCATTTAGTGAAATATAATGTTTTCAACACCACGAAACTTCTTTATTGTACATGCAGTCGTAAACTGAGCTTTGTCGTCGCACGATGAAGCTCAGTTTTCGACTGTGTGTTCAGAACACACCAAGTCAACACCAAGAACACTTCTCAAGATTCAAAATAATACTGCTTCTCTTTTGTATATGCTTTTTTTCAGCAATTCAGATGCAAGAAGGAGAAAACGATACGTTCTCACCCTTTGCCTTTTACTTTAAAAGCCAACGTACTTGGATTTAAAGTAATGGCAGATGTTGAGGCTTATCATCGAATATTTCGAACGAAAAATCTCAAGATTAATTTAGATGTTTTAAAGTTCCTAGTCTGTCACTAACTTCAGGTACTTATATTGTTTTTAAAAATGTATTTTATAAAATTCATGGAGTGAAAATATGTAATATAATTTGATGTGTACCATTTTTGTGTGCCGAATTTTTTTCTAACGTGTTTTACAGTAAGACGAAGGGTTAAGTACCGTCATCAAGAGCTGCCAAGAAGACCACTGCTCGTCCTTCGCTGACCATGTTCCACTCATGCCATTGAATGGAACACGGCAGCGAATGACGCGGCCTATCGTCGTGGGAAGGAGTCGAAAACGTAATTTTTGAACAGACGACTGCACATAAGGGTATACTTGTTTGTCGCAAAATAGCAGCTAATACTATACGCGGTGTTTTTTATAGTTGATCAAAAAAGGGGTTGATTCTATAGTTCTAAAAGTCTGATCGCCGAGCACATAGAATTTCGTCCAATGACCCCAAGCTACCCATCCTTATCGCTCGCGCGTAATTATATTGCGCCGGACTTTATGACTCAGCCAGTGCCTGAGGTATGGGCGCGGCACGGGAGGGGTGACATTGACATTTATGATACATACAAATCTGAAGCCTCACTGACGTCTCAAAAACACCCTCCCGTAACGCTGCCATATCTCAGGCACTCGAAAACGTTAAACCTATACTAAAGTTAGCTTGGGGTCATTGAACGAAATTCTACGTGCTCGGCGATCGGACTTTACTCGATCTTTTGCTGATGAGAATTTATATGGAAAGCCTTTTTTAGTATTTGAACTTCGGGTCTTCGGTCCCTTGGAAAAAATTGTTGCATTTGAGCAGTAGAATCAAATCTTTTTATCTGATCAGGTATAAAAATAAGACACTGTTTATACAATAACTAATTAATTACCTTGATATGCGGTCGTCTGTACAACTTTGTATTATACGAGAAAGCTTACGGTCGGGTACCCACTAAGTTCTCAAATTTTGGATAAAATTTGACAATTTATTGGCCTGCTCGTCTACATGACCTCGCAACCAATCAAGACATTCCAGCAAAAAAACAATATGATTTCTTTAATCAAATGTGTGCTATTGATTGTCACTTTAATTTATTCATCACATTTGTATGCCTGCTCTGATGTATTAAGTTAAATGAAAATTAGTGTCTTCTCTTTCATGTCATTCCATATTTTTTATTTTGACTTTTTCTGTAAATTGTAAACCTACTGTAATATGCTCATCATGTGCTTATACTGTGTACTGTATAATGATTGTTACTGTGTCATTTATCATTACTTTTATGTGCCTGATTTGATGCAATATGTTGAATGAAAGTTTGTAACTCTTCTGTAAATTCTCTATGTATTTATTTTGACCTTTCCTGCAAATTGAGTTTATAAAACTGTTTGTACTGTATGTTACTGTATTAGACTGTGTTAGATTATGATTTGATTCTCGTTAAGTTTTGCAATCTTATGAATGGTGCTCACATTAATTTTAATTTGCATTGTAAACTGTAATATTGACGTTGAATGTTGAATCTTATTTCTAAGCCATCTAATTACTTTCAAGTTTAAGGCTGAGTTGCACCATCAAACTTTGACTGTAACTATAACGATAACCGGTGTTTTTTGTATGGAGTTTGACAGAATTTTTTGACGATTGTCAAAGTTAAAGTAAGATGGTGCAACCCAGCTTAAGAATACGAAATCTTGTTATGTCCCCATAGGTATTTATTCTGTGAAAGTATCTCATTTCACATTCTATGTTGAGATATATGCCACCCTAGATAAAGTTACAAATGTGACAGTTGTAATTCCATAACCGCTTTGCACCATCGTGTTCTTTAAATTGATAAACTATTATAGCAGCTTTGTACACCTGCTGTTATTGTCTAGCCCGAAACAAAACAATCAAACTTCGCTGTATTAAGCAATATCGGAATGAAAACTGTCACAAATGTTACTTCTTTCTCTAAGAGTAGGCGCACACCGTTGATATTTCGTCGGCCGATAGTTTAGTCGGGCAGTTGATCAGTGTGGGCATGTATGGGAGTGCGCACACTACGCCGATTCGATTTGGCCGATTCTTCATACAATTTAAAATCGGACACAACTATTGGCCAACTAAAAATCAACGGTGTGCGCCTACTCTTAGAGAAAGAAGTAACATTTGTGACAGTTTTCATTCCGATATTGCTTAATACAGTGAAGTTTGATTGTTTTGTTTTGGGCTGCAGACATTAACAGCAGGTGTACAAAGCTGCTATAATAGTTTATCAATTTAAAAAACACGCTGGTGCAAAGCGGTTATGGAATTACAACTGTCGCATTTATAACTTTATCTTTTCTTACTCTAAACGCACGTCGCGAGGGTTGTCCCTTTAGTCGCCCCCATTCTCCCTCCTAACTGGCGTCCCTATTCAGTTGCAGAAGCAGTTCCCGCTATCGTTCGAGTTCAACGAGTACTACCTGCGTTTCGTGGCGTACCACAGCGTGTCTTGCCGCTTCCGGACCTTCCTGCTGGATAGCGAGGCGCAACGAGCGGAGCTTGGGATCACGGCGGCGGACGATAAGCGCGCTGATACCAGTCGACTGGTGAGACATTTGTACTACCATATCCTCAAGGTCAATGAGTACTACCTGCGTTTCGAGGCGTACCACAGCGTGTCTTGCCGCTTCCGGACCTTCCTGCTGGATAGCGAGGCGCAACGAGCGGAGCTTGGGATCACGGCGGCGGACGACAAGCGCGCTGATACCAGTCGACTGGTGAGACATTTGTACTACCATATCCTCAAGGTCAATGAGTACTACCTGTGTTTCGTAGTGTACCACAGCTTGTCGTGCCGATTCCGGACCTTCCTGCTGGATAGCGAGGCGTAGTGAATGGAGCTTGGGATCACGGCGGCGGACGACAAGCGCGCTGATACTAGTCGACTGGTGAGACGTACTACCATATCCTCAAGGTCAATGAGTACTACCTGCGTTTCGTGGCGTACCATAGTCGTGCTACTCCAGAACCTTCCTAACGGATAGCGAGCTTGGGATCACGGCGGCGGACGACAAGCGAGCTGATACTAGTCGACTGGTGAGACATTGTTACTACCTTATCCTCAAGGTCAATGAGTACCACCTGCGTTTCGTTTCGTACCATAGTCGTGCTACTCCAGAACCTTCCTAATGGATAGCGAGCTTGGGATCACGGCGGCGGACGACAAGCGCGCTGATACTAGTCGACTGGTGAGACATTTGTACTACCATATCCTCAAGTTCAATGAGTACTACTTGCGTTTCGTGGCGTACCACAGCGTGACGTGCTACTCCAGAACCTTCCTAATGGTTAGCGAGGCACAGCGAGCGGAGCTTGGGATCACGGCGGCGGACGACAAGCGCTCTGATACTTGTCGACTGGTGAAATGACACTTTTACCACCATCTCTAAACATCTGGTAGCAAATCCTCGTGCTTTCGTGGAGACTAAATGACATAATGATCACGTTGATGATGATAGTAATAACCGTTGTGTGGTACCTATAGTAGCCCGAAAATGTGTAGTCTAATGTGATGAGTATTCTGGCAGAGTAGAATAGTACCACAAAGAAAACATGAGTTTTCCAGTACGTCAGTGAAAGAGAAATCCTCCCATTTGCCTGATTCTCAACCTGATGATGAATGTGCTGTAGACTTAGCTTTGCACAGTTTGAGGATAGTTCTCCGCATCTTCCTTTATCTTTCAACAGTACCTTCCTAGAGTATTGTAACACTATGATGTACCCTGACTACTATGAAGTAGTCAGGGTACAAATAAACAGTATTTTCTCCTCCAGGGCGTAGAAACAGGCGCGGGCTCAGAAGAAGAATGCGTGGGCGGGGTGCCCATGGGCCCCGGCGGCGCGGCGGGGGCCGCTGGGTCCTACGGCAGCTCCCCTCGAGCCACCTTCGGCCAGTCGCTCTTCGACTACATAGACAAGCAACACCAGAAGAGCCCGGTGTTCTACAACTTTCTGTACACGCCCGATCTTGATAATCCAGTAAGTCGTCTCACATTTTGATGTAACAACCCTATCTCCAACGGTCCACGATTCCGTTGATCTTTTTTTCCCACTGGGTCAATGAAATGTACAAATATATTTTAAATTTTTTGCAATAATTATGATTCCTAATGGGTCCACGAAACATATCCAAAGCACGATTAATTTCCATCCTTATTACCCAGTGGTGATTGTACCGAATATGCTCATGGACCCGCTGAAAAAGAAAATGCTTTTTTTTAATGTCATGTCATGTTTATAATTTCATTCCATTCAAAGTATAAACTTACATCTTTTGAAAACAGTAGACCTGGGGACCTTTGGGAATAACCCACCCAATCAAACTATAGATTTCATTTTCAATCAAGCAACAACAATCGTTGAAGCAACACCTTCGTAGAATATAATTTGGCATTTATGTGCAAACAAATAATATAGAATTTAATTGACAGCGAATTGTCTATGATGAGACTTCAATAAGGTTTTGAGTATAAAGTGAAAACCAAAATTGAGGATACTGAGACCGTTCACTGTCAGCTTTTGTCGGAATTTGGATGTCGTAAGAACTAACGGCAGAGTTATGGCCAAATCCTTCATATTTAGCCTCTGGTTAACTAGAGGTTCGTTCTTTTGCTGTGGAGATTATATAACCTGATATTTGACATTGTTATTGAACAAATCCAAACCGTCGGTTGTAGGTTCTTCGGCCGGTATCAGCGATCAACTGCTTAGAAGTGTGGCAGTACTACGTCAGCGAGGAGTTGAGCCATGGAGCGCCCTACGACCTGGAAGCACTCACACCCACCACGCCTGACATCGGCGAGCCGCAGCAGAGGCGGCTGGTCACCGCTGGGTGAGTCTGCAGATGTTTTCTTCTTCCAGCAGCATCTTGTAGCCAGGTTCGACTCTTTAGACACAAATATGTACGTCGGCAAGGCGCAGCAGAGGCGCCTGGTCACCGCTGGGTGAGTCAACAGTTGTTTTCATCTTCTAGCAACTTCTTGTAGCGAGGTTCGACTCTAGAACCAAATATCAACGTCGGCGAGCAACAGCACAGGCGCCTGTTCACCGCTGGCCGAGTCTGCTGATGCTGTCTCTCACAGCAGCTGCCTGGAGGCTGGCAGTACTACGTCATAGGCGAGCCGCAGCAGACACGGCATCACCGCTGGGTAAGTCTGCAGATGTTTTCACCTTTTAGCTATTTCTTATAGCCAGGCTTGACTTTTTAAACCAATTATCTAATAGGTTTAAAAAGTCAAGCCTCGTATCTACGAGTAGGTATGCAGCTACTAGGTGGACCGGTACGATCTATTAACTAAAGGTCGCGGGAAGAATCTGGATGCGGGCAGTGCAGGACCGTTCATTATGGAAAACCTTGGGGGAGGCCTTTGTCCAGCAGTGGACATCCTTTGTCTGAAAAGACGACGAGGTATGCAGCTTAAACGTAGTCTAAATGTTAAGGTCTGTGGGGTGCCACATTAACCCTTGAGTAGCCGTATTTGTGACAATGACATATGGGCGGGGTACATAGGCAGGCCGCACTCGTTGGAGTGACGATCGATTATGACGATGTTGTGGGAAGCACCTGGGTGCGAGCAGCGCAGGACCAGTCATTGTGGAAATCCTTCGGAGAGACCTTGGTTCAGTGTTCTTTGGTTAAAACGATCGAACTGTTTAATGAAGATTTAAAAAAGCACAAGATTCCAAAAACAGAACCAGTTTTAATTAATACCTCTTTTTCAGCTACGAGATACCAATTCCAGAACAGGCCTTTAATAAAACTTATTTTTCTCTTGTTAGCTATGACAGCACGTGGCGTAGCATGCCCGACGCGTTCTCAGGACTGCTGGAGCGGTTGCGACAGCTGGAATTAGAGCTGGGCCACCTGCCGCAGAAGTGGCGCGTGCGGTGGGACCAGCTTGAGCTGCCCAATACACTGGAGCTGCAGGTATGCTTATATCTGTGTGGATTAAGAAACGTTTTTGCTATGAGCTTATGTACAAACGTTTCTTAATCCGTCGGCTTTGCCAAAGTTTATTGACACGATTTTAGATGGAAAATCTTTAAATAATATTTTAATTAATTAAAGAGTATAAATAATACATAATAACACAACAAGCAATAAGTTACTTACTAGAATAAATACATTTATAAAATGTCTTGTGGCGCCACTGTCAATTGAGTTTTGTTCAATAGCGCTAACTGGAGAACACAAAATATTGACAGGAAAGTAACTTGTCAATGGCTCCAACTAGAAACGCAAATATGACGCATTCTCATTAGTGTGACTGGTGCAAATGTACTATCGGCCACAGTTCCAGCTACCCATTTCTGTTTTTTCTCTCGCTCTCATCAAGTGGTGATTCTTTGCTATAGAACGAGACGACATGGCCGATAGAGTCAGCGTCAGATAGATCGAAGCGTCTAAAATAGCCAAAATGGTCTGATATTCATTATTTAAGCTCGCAACTACATCAACGCGTGCAGATCGCCAACTCCGGCGCGATCAAAGGCCAATGACAGGTCGCGCGACGCATGACAGTTCTCGCGACTGGTGTCACGCGTTGATGTGGTTGAAGCATTAGTTCAATGCGCGCTTTGATCGCTTCGGTCTATCTGATGATGACTGGTACAACAATGTCCTTATTTTATCTGATGATGACTGGTACTACAATGTCCTTAATTTATCTGATGATGAGTGGTACAACTATGTCCTTATTTTCTAGCGAGTATCCTCCATGTCGTCGGGCGTGGTCAGACGCGCTACGCTGGCGGCACACAAGCGCGGCACCCGCTCGCTGCTGGCGCGCGGCCGCCTCGCCGCCGCGCCGCCCGCGCCCGCCCACCGCTGGGCAACCGCCGCCTCCGCCGCGCCCGCCCGCTGCGACCAATGCCAGGACCTGCTGTGGGGGCCGCTCAAGGTAGGCTGCTGCCAGTGGCATCAATGGCTGCGAGTGTCACTGTCATCAATGTCAGGGAGTGTCATCAATGTCAGAATGTCATCAATGTTAGGGAGTGACATCAATGTCAGAATGTCATCAATGTCAGGGAGTGACATCAATGTCAGAATGTCATCAATGTCAGGGAGTGACATCAATGGCTGCGAATGTCGTCAATGTCAGGGAGTGACATCAATGGCTGCGAATGTCGTCAATATCAGGGAGTGTCATCAATGGCTGCGAATGTCGTCAATGTCAGGGAGTGACATCAATGTCAGGGAGTGACATCAATATCAGGGAGTGTCATCAATGGCTGCGAGTGAAATCAATGTCAGGGAGTATCATCAATGGCTGCGAGTATCATCAATGGCTGAGTGTCATCTCAATGTCAGGGAGTGTCATCAAATCAGTTGATTGTACCCCAACGAGTTTCATCAATTAATCACATTGAGCTGAACCAAGAAGCTGTATTTGGGATGTGTAAAGGTGTTTTTAACCAACTTCAACAAAAGGAGGAGAAGACGTGTGCTTTATTCAAGACATGTATGTTAACATTACCCCACGAGACTTGTTTCTTGTCCTCTATTTATTAAAGACGTGTATTGACTATACTTTCCCATAGACCAGTGATGGCCAAGGGGTCGAATGCGGCCTACCGGTCGACCGCTAAGACGATTTTGTAGCCCGCGAGAGTTAAATAAACTGAACTTATTTTAAAATGTACCTATTCGCGCCAAGAACACTGACTATCTATCTACCTGTAAATATCACACACTCACACGCTTCGGTCGGTTCTAGTAACTTGGTAGTATTGTTGTTGCTAAAATGTTTTATTTCAGTCTTCTAAATTCTACTTTATAGTCGACCGCAAGAGGTTTTCGGGCATAAGTAGACCTCACATGTCAAAAGTTTAGACCACCCCTGCCTTAGAGCTAACCGTTTGTTGTCTTCCAGGCGGGCGTGCGGTGCGTGGACTGCGGCGCGGCGTGCCACGAGCGCTGCGCCGACGCCTTCGCCCTCCCCTGCACCAAGTACAAGGCGCCGCCGCCGCCCGACCGCGAGCCGCACCTCGCCGTCACCAACAGTGAGTATTTTCAATCTTAATTCTTGGTCTTAAGGCGCCTTCATAATTACTATAATATCCTGCAAAAATGACATGCGACGAAGCGGCTGCCGCTAAGTTCAAGAATAGGCTAGATGACAAAATTTCAATTAATAATCCGTCGGATAGATAATTAGAAAATATTAGACTCGTATTCATTTATTTATTTATTTATGAAAACCAAGGTTACAGTCCTCTCAACTTAAGCTGAGAATTGCATTTGTGTGAGTGCACACCGATAGTTTAGAGTGGCAATCGGCTTGAAGCGCGGCGCGTCCCGCGCATGGTTTATTATAGCAAGCGGCCTGAAGCGCGGCGCGTCCGCCACGCACCGCTTCCTTGTCGCTCACATACTTCACTTCACCCCCGGTACTGGTAGCAGATACGTGTAAATATTAGTGAAATGGCTCCTACTGTAAGTGAATTTCCTGTACGAAATCCATTAAGCAGCCAAGTGAAAGAAATTTTATGCAAATTGAATACGTATTTTAAAGGTGTGAACGAAAAGTTTTTAGTCTGTTTTAATTTTGTAATTTTATAAAGTTTGTCTTTTTGTTGTATTTTGTAAGGCTGGCTGGACGCCCTCTCTATAAACGGTGCTCTCAGAATATCAGCGTTGAGGTACTTCGTGCCTTGGCATATGCTGAGCGAGGACCTGTTTTTATTTATTTATTTATTTAAAAGGATGTGTCAAGTGTCGTTACATCGGCCCAATTGGTAGCAAGTATTTTATAAACTTCCTTTTAATAAAACATTAATTTTATTTGTATGTGTTTTACTAACTGTACTTAGGCGATCACTCACACAAATGCAATTCTCAGCTTAAGTTGATAGGACTGTACAATGTATAATAATGACAAGTTAAGCAACAAGTAAAACACTTATCCCACAGTATTTTTTATTTTCTTTTATAATTAAATGATGACAGTGTTTAAATGGCGCGTTACGTCACGCCTATGTAGAATGTTTACTTCGAAGAAACGTCACGCGACATTTCAACTCAATAATACTGTAATTATTCGATTATAAAAAAAAAAGTGTCCAAAATTTTTTTTTATCTGTTGGACGGAGTAAATAGAATTTCGTAATACTGTAATTATTCGATTATAAAAAAAATATATATTATCCAGTCATCATACCAATTACTGTAGTGTCCTTCAAAAATGTAGTATAGTACAGACGACACATTAAGCTAAATACTGTGGCATTCTGTGTTTAGTTCCTTTCTTTGTGAAAAGAACACAAAAAATCAATTGAGAACACGTGGAAAGCCGGATTTAGGTCTTTTGAAAAATATCACTTAGGACCAGGTGGCCAAATTTGTATTCTCACAATGACCCTACCTATATACACCCACGAAGTTTGTCTAACGCTCTTCCGAACTCCCTGGTACTAATGGTATGTATGTGTTTGCAGGCGTGTCAACTCTACAATCATCATCGCAGCAGTACTATGAACAATTCTCATCAAACGTAGCCGAGAACAGAACGCACGAGGGACATCTCTACAAGCGTGGTGCTCTGCTCAAAGGCTGGAAGCAGAGGTAAGCATTACCAGGATACCTTCAGGGTTTTTTAGGCTTTCTACTTAGAATCTTACAGAATCCATAACTTCGAACTCCTTCTATGTTCTTCTGATTAATTTCTTTGCTGGTTCAAAGACAGGTTAACTTTTTCTTTGACAAACTTGGCCTTCACTGGATGGGTTTTTCTTGGCGGTCAAGCTGTAGATCCTGGCTACACAGGAGTTGCAGCAGTGGAAATGTTATTTATCATTTTATTTCTATTCCAGATGGTTTGTATTGGACTCGATCAAGCATCAACTGAGATACTACGACGCGATGGAAGACTCCCATTGTAAAGGATTTATTGGTAAGTACTTTATCGTTATTTAAAATCAGCAGTAGTAGCCACTCCTTCATGACGTATACGTAGTTTCGTGTCTATTCGTTATTATAACTCTCGAGTCATAACGCATTTTTGGCATCTCACTTTGAAAGGGATAAAAACATTTGAAATTGGAGTAATGTTAATGGGAGTTACCCCCATTATCATAATACAGACAGACAGTTACTTTCGCATTTATAATATTAGTATAGATGAAATTGAAACAATAATATTAATATTGTTATTGACATAAATGATTATTCCTCAGATCTGGCTGAAGTGATAACAGTGACGCAAGCGCCGCCCGCGCCCGGCCCGCCCAAGAAGTGTGACGACAGATCCTTCTTCGATGTGAGTTCTTTTTATTATTCCTTTCGTTTCAGACAAATGACGTCCACTGCTGGACAAAGGCCTTCACCTAAGGATTTCCATAACGCACGGTTCTGCGCTGCCCCCATCCCGTTTCTTTCAATTTATTTCTAACTTAGATTTATATTGCAGCAAGATATGAGATACAGAAATGTGTCTTGAGTCATACGTCAAAATCAAAAGAAGGCTTTGTGTCTTTCTACCGACTTATGCCTGATATGATACTGTATTTTTTGACTAAAGACTAAAAAAAGGTCTGTCTTTACAAATGAAAAGAAAGGGAATGTTCGTTTCGAATCAAATGAACATTATATCAATGTTTTCAGTTGCGCACATCGCGGCGCACGTACAACTTCTGCGCGAGCGACGCGACGGCTGCTCAGGAGTGGATCGAGAAACTACAGGCCTGTCTGCAGTAAGAACATTCACAGTGCAGTGCAAACCAGAGTATGCAGCACTTCCAATCATGAAATTCACATTTGAAAATCTACTATAGGTCGCGCAACAAGAGTTGAAGTCATCAATACAAGCAAAGATTTGTATCTGTATACGTTGTCTGACGCGATGACGGGACAAGTACTTTTTATCTCGCTTGCAGACATTTAACAAGAGCGAGGTAGCTAGTGTATTCGATATTTGAACTTAAATGTGTACCTAATGTGTTGTTTGTTTTCTGTATTTCAAATATTACATCAGTGTTAGTAACGTGTTCGCCTCAGTTTTCGTTGCGCGACCTATAATAATAAGTTAGCGACCGTAGCCATTTGTCATCGTAAAGTGACAGTCAAATGTCAAATTTCAGTGTAAAACGACTTTAGTGTGCAAAGTTCCGTTATTTCATACTTATGTGTATGACATAGCGTTGCAGGATTCTTACTATTATACGATTTTGTATGATTTGGTATCAAACCGGTTTATTAAGTGTAGCACTGGTAAATGGAGTAAAAGAAACTTTGTAATAATTTTGTCACATTCAAAAGTGATGCTTTCTATAACTGTGTTCGTTCGTTGTTTTGATATCAATGGTGTTTTGATAGATGTTGTAAATATGGTTTGTTTGAGAAATCTCACGCGGGAGTCCAGTCTGGTAGACAATGTGTTACATTATTTTGTAACACTAATTCGACGTATTACCTGAATGTATATCCTATGTTAGTACTTATATAGATATTTATTTTCTGCCGTATTTGGTTAGACAAATATACAAAAAATATACGAATATAAGTTCCAATGTATCAATTTCAGCTCTGTACATTATCAGAATTGATATAATATTACAGAGCGTTTAGTGAAGGTGAAATATTCGATTTCAAAATTTTCTTCCTAACATTCCTACTGTCACAAAAACTTACACAAATTATATTTTTATATGAAAGTATTTTATTGATTTGCGCAGCCTTATACCAAATATGTATGTACGTCTGGACTCTGACCGTGGTCGTATTGACGAGGTATTCCTTTTGTATAATCCCTAAATATTAACGATATTGTAATTTATGTTAAACAATTTCCAAGAAGCTTGTTTAAACGTGTCATAGCGCGATCTCGACTCGACATGCTCTCATCGACAGAAGAACATCCCATTTCGGAAGCGTAAAAGTTTTTTTAATGTTTCATACAAACATTTCTAGTTTTTGCATCAAGCTATGTTTAAATGGTAAATCGTTTTTTAAGAATATTATGTAATTGTGTAAATAAATTATATTGTTGCCGAAATGGAATACTCTGGAGCTGGGATACGTTGGCTCTAGTCGATGCGAGTGTTTGTATCTTAGTTTTAATATTACTCGACAAAATAGATTTAATGATATTGTTACGTTGGATATTTGTAAATATTTTATCTTATTATTGTTGTGTAAAGAATTTTGTTCCATTATGTGTATTTTCGTTCTTTATATTTGACATTGAAGCAAACTTTGAGCTATTGTGGGCCACGCATTTTGCAAATAATATTTTTTGAAACGATCGCCGTTTTTTCGTCTGTTAAATGTTTTGACGTTTCTTTTAAAAATATCAGTAAGTAAAAACAAGTATTTACCAACAAATGTTTCAAAGTTTAAATTGATGGTCATTGTATGTTATTATAGAAAATAATTCCATAACATCACTTATTTATGTAAACGAAATGTATATGTGTACCCGAGTAACAAACTAAAGCTCGCTTGCATTTAGTTTTAAATATACATATTTCGTAAAACAAAGATATTATTTTTTGTCTTGGGAATCATGTATTTCTGCGGTTCCATTAAAGCCCGTCAACCAGAGAGCGTAGGCGTACTAAGGGAATTATTGAATATTGATTTAATAATTTCATGTCCTAACTAAAATTACCAATCTAGACATTGTATGGGAATTTGTACTAAAACTGATCGTACTTAGAAGGTTCAAAATGCCTTGTGTCGCCTTCGCTCTGCCACACGAGGGCTGTTGTTACATACTCATTGGTCACTTGTAAATAGGTTATTTTTCTTTGGACATATCAGTGCGCACCGTATACATACAGTCCGGTCGCATACTGCATTTACTATTGACGCTTCGTTGAGGTTAATCGTGCCAAATATGCACAGGGTGCACCTTCTATTGCTCAGAATCATAGGACGATTTTAGGCATTAATGAAAATAGACGAATCACCTAGATCTTAAAGTACTAAGTATGAATGAGGACTATAGTCTTTGCGATCACCTGTAGATGTCATTGGCGAGTAAAGTCCCGTCACTAGCAAGTTTAGTGAGCGCAATACGATTAGTCCTCATTAAATGTTATATTCTAAATTCAAGCTAATTTGCAGCTTATTTCACTTTGAGTTATAGTAAAAATATAGTACCACAATGGAATAAGCTCTATGAATCGTCCTTGTAAAGTTGCCTATATCAGATCACTAGCTTTTCGAAATTGTAAGTGATAGATTTCAAACAATACGGCGCCTTATCGTTTGCGTATGTTAGTGTTGTGCTTGAGCTTCCAATCGCCTCTGTGGAGTTTTTAATATTTTTGCAATCATTGATAATGATTAAGAATGAGATCGAAAGAGCTCCGTCTGTCATTCCTGTTACATCAAAATTACTATTGTATCTATATTATATCTCTCTTATCCTCCCTAGAATGTTAAATGAGTGTGAGAGAGATGTATGTATTGTTTTTTTTTCTGATAAAATCCACTTTCAGTGGATTCTCATTTCTGATGGCAACTGCCCTTCATAGTGAGGCATATCAAAATATCGTTAGAAATTAGCTTCGCTTAGTAACCTCATATTTAAAGCCTATTGCTGTACGAGTCTGCCCTAAATGTGTAGTGCAATATGAAGCCTAATTTATGTCTAGTATGTGTCTGTACCGCCGCAGCAATAGGGCTCGATGCCGTGTAATAATAGTACTGCGAACCATCAAATAAAGAGATTTTTAAATTAAAACACACTTTCATTTACTTCCTATATTTCATTCAACCGTGTCGTCCAGTACATGATCTTGGTCATAGACGTGATAACTGGGTCAATTATTTTGAATTGGCATAAATAATCGAATATTAATAAGATACAAATTAACAAACTACTATAGTCTGGTCCGTGAGCACGTAGAATTTTGTCCAATGACCCCAAGCTACCCATCTTTATTGCTCGCGCGTAATTATGTTACTATCGCGCTCGCACACTCACTGCGGCCGCCCGTCGCACAGTCGCGACAGCAATATAATTACGCGCGAGCGATAAGGATGGGTAGCTAGGGGTCATTGGACAAAATTCTACGTTCTCACGGACCGGGCTTTAGTATAATTAGATTTAGTTCGCCAGCTTTTTATTAAAAAATTATTAAGCAGGTTGTTTCTACTAAGGTAAAGAGTAAATAAAACAAATTGGTCATATGTAACAATTTTTATTTTACCAATATTAATAATATATTAACATATGTGGTCCAAAACCACCCTCTCTCTGATAATAATATAATACAAAGAATTTGCACAAGAGGTTTCTGAACCCATAACAAAGAAAACAAGGGGCTACTCTACCGTGAGCTACAATGTACACAAGTCAAGTGTTAAAACGCAGCCTCCTACCGACTCGCGTCACATTTACAACAATATTTAAAACGAGGTAAAAAAGGAAAGAAAAAGGTAAACATTTTTATAATATATTAATTATTATCTAGCCTAACAACGAAAGGGCGCTAGACGCACGCGGACCGCAACTCCGTTTGCCAGTGGTTCCGTGAGCTACCGCTACCACTAGTGGAACTATTCACTCGTGGTTGAAAGAAAATAATTACTGTAATAAAGCCTGGTCCGTGAGCACGTAGAATCCCGTCCAATGACCCCAAGCTACCCATCTCTATCGCTCGCGCGTAATTATGTTGCTGTCGCGCTCGCACACTCACTGCGGGCGCCCGTCGCACAGTCGCGGGACGGGATTCTGCGTGCTCACGGACCAGGCTTTAGTTGCAACTCGAGTAGAACTAAGATGGATGCCACGGAACTACCAGGAGTAGAGAAGCAGCGCACAATACACGCAAGCTACGGAATATTAGGCCGTGATCAGTCCGGCGGACTAGCCCCGCCCGTTGCGCTTCACGCTGTATACATTATATACAATGGGAAATAAATATCCTATACGCACGACAAGAATATGTAATCGTGTATGTACATAACCACACCTACAGTGCAGCGGCCGCGGCCGCAAGTATATCACAAGGAATATATCCCATTGCGACTAACTGTTTGGTTCGCCTACAATATTTATATTGGCGTTCACTTTTTGGCTTAGCTAGACGGCTGCTCGCCGCGGCCCGACAAGGCCTCAACTACAACCGCGATATAAACACTCATCATAATGTTCATAAATTTAAAGTCGATGGCGAATCCTCAGAAAAACCACATTTTAAACGTCACTAAAGTTACGAATAAACATTTTTGGTTACCACGTCGTACCTAAAATAATTACCTCCAAAAATATCAGTTTCCTGCACAGTTCTACACAATCGCTTAAGCCTATAATACAATCGATCCGCGAGATGGGTGATCCGATTAGAAACGTACAAAATTTGGTTCCGAAAAAGTCCAAACGGTCTCCAAAAAAAGTATCAGCTGGATTTAAAAGTTTCGAAAAGAGATAGGATGACCCTTTCGATGTAGTTAGGATGAACTGAACGATCATAAGACTGTTAAGCTCTGGCCGAGCGGCCGTCGGTGAAGGTGATCATATTTTCGTTATTCACTTAAATAATTTATATGTACTTACAACATCACTGTAATAATATAATGACTACTTGGTGACTCGCACTTATAAAACATAACTAATTTTATAGGGAATCTGTCTCGTAAGATACAATACGTTACTGAACATTGTATGGCTACCTAATATACAGATGGACCCAGGAATTATAGAACGCGTAATAATACATACACCATAAAAATAAAAGTTGCCATATTACAATTTAAAATCGCACCCAGCGACTGAATCTAAAAAATTTCGATAAAATAAAAATATCTATAATTACTGTAAATCAAATTTTTAAATATGGCAATACTTTAAAAATCGCCGACGCGTCCGACATTTCCTAATCCATAACCATTTTACCACGGATTTAACGTACTCTTACAACTGAATTTAACAGCTAAATAAAATAGATGTACAATGGAATATGTTACAAAACAAGATGGTGACACAGCAACGGGTCAAGTTGCAAGACATCAAAGTCACTAAACGAATAGTGCGAATTGATTCTTGCTACAGTCAAGTACTTGGATTATAAAGTTATTTTTTAATATTGATAAAACTATTTGATAGATAAACATGGTTTCGTACGTCTATTCCACTTTGATCATCTGGCTTTGATGACCCAGGTGATCAAAGTGGACTTCCAGCGACAATTTAGTATCCTTTGATCACCCACGGATACGATGCCCTGGGTGATCAAAGTGGACTCCAGTTTAATTATTATTTTAGTGTCCTTTGATCACCTACAAACAAATCACACCTCTGAATAGTCACATGTCCAATTGTTGTACTTACATATTTCGTTTTGTAACATTTTGATATTTTCTAAAAACCGCAACAAACAAATATGTGACTATTCAGAGGAATGATTTATTTATAGGTGATCAAAGGACACTAAAATAATAATTTTACTGGAGTCCACTTTGATCACCCAGGGCATCGTATCCATGGGTGATCAAGGTCAGGTGATCAAAGTGGAATAGACTGTGTGCTTACCATGAGTTTACATTAGGTGTGCTCGCTAGCGACTACGTAAATAAATGACATATGAAAGTATTGTGCAGCGCCCCTAGCGGCTACTTTCAAGAAACAAAACCTTCATAGAGATTTTTGACGTACTCGCTAGCGAGCACACCTAACGTAAACTCATGGTATAGATGATCCACGCTGAACTGTCCCACCAAACTCAATGACAGGGGGGCGCTACCATCGTTCAACTATATGGTTTCCAACATGGCAAAAATCGGAACCAGCGATTCGGTATTGACGGTGGCGCCCCACTGTCACTGTCATGCATAGGACAGTTCAGTATTTTGGAACTATAAGTACACTGTTTCGTAAGCGTGTACCGCTAGTGTGGGTTGCTGTGAGTGGGGGTGTGTGGTTTAGGGGCTGGACTGCGGGCGCTAGTGGCCCACGCGCTAGTGGCCCACGCGCTAGTGGCCCACGGGCTAGTGGCCCACGGGCTAGTGGCCCACGGGCTAGTGGCCCACGCGCTAGTGGCCCACGGGCTAGTGGCCCACGGGCTCCACGTAGTTGGCGGGGTAGAGCCCCACGCGGCCGTCCTTGCGTCCCTTGCACCAGCCCTGTTCGTCTTCGTCCTCTAGTTTTTCGAATAGGTCCCCTGAAAGTTAAGAATAGAATGGTTATGAAATATTGACTGCTGTTGTACTATTGTAAATTATTGAACTGTTCCCCTGGAGAGATAAAGTAACAAGCTTAACAGTTTAATCTATCGAAATTAGGCATGGAACATTTCATGAATAGCAGGTGAAAAATCATATGAAATGAATTTCATTGATCACACCTGCTATTTTACTTCACATAGACTGCTATAATTTCACAGTCAACGAAATCACGAATCACATGAATTTCATTCATTCATTTGAGCGAAGTCCGTGAGCGCTGCTCTGCGAAGCGACCGAGCGAGTAAGAAGGAATGATTTGATCGTGTGCGTGTTAGAAAAGGACAAGATATGTGATGACGGACGAAACTGGGCATTTTAAATATGAACTTTAAACTCAAAGGTGTAAGGTTTAGATTTCCTTGTCATGATTCGTATGATTTCATTAGATAGCAGGCAGATGAAATGAATGATTTTCACTAGTCGCGCGGTTATTGATGTGCTGTGAAACTGTTTGTTTTTTGTTGTACGACATAAATTATACAGATATTGTTACATTTCATATTTTAGCTAATTAGCAATCCTTCATTATAATTCATACTTCATTAAAAGTAGCACATTATATGAAAGAGCTACATTAAAACACTGCGAATAAAAATCATTGCCTGTGAAATTTCGCATGTGAAATCATATGAAAAAAAATCATCATTTCATAGAATGAAAATGAATGAAAAATAGCAATCATTTCCATGCCTAATCGAAATCGCTTCACGGGACGAAACATGTTACGAAAGTTATTCCTCGTCTTTGAATTAAAAGACACCAATATGTGGATAGTTGCTAGATATGAAACTTAGATTGAGAAGCGGTGGATGCACTTTTTACTTAAATGTTTCGAAAAGAGATTTTCCCTTATCCTCCTGCTGAGGGAAACCTCGTGGCAACCGGCTCAGTTACCTAATCAGAGGTTGAATTGTGTAAAGCAATCGTAATCATTTGACAGTTCATAACGTACGATAAAGTCAGTTGAACAAAGCGTTTGACAGAATAATCGTACGATATGAACTGTCAAATGATTACGATTGCTTTACACAATTCCACCTCAGCTCAGATCACCCCCAGGAACATTTGCTCTAAACGGTTAGCTGTCTCGAAAAATGCAGGCTCACCTTGCCTGAAGCTCAATTCGTCGCCCGCACGGGAACTCTCGGTTCTTCGGACTCTTGCTTTATTTATGGCTATTCTGTGTCTGAAGGAGTCTACCAATATGTCCAATGCAACCAGTTATATCTCACCTTGCCTGAAGCTCAATTCGTCGCTCTCCGCACCCGTGTAGTCATATAACGCCCGCACCGGCACGCCCGGTTCTCCAGTATCCGTGAGCGCGCTCGCCGAATCTTCCTTTATTTATAACTGTTCTATGTGTCCCACACAACCAGTCCCATGCTAAGCTCGTCCGAAGTTGAGTTCTTTCATCTAGGGCTGCTGTTCAATGTGTACAATGCAACCCGATATATTTCACCTTGCCTGAAGCTCAATTCGTCGTTTTCCGCCCCAGTGTAGTCGTAAAAGACCCGCGCACGTAAGCGCGCCCACCGATTGTTACTTTGCTGCTATACAGTGCCGGATTAAGGGACCGCTTGGTGCCCTAAGCAATAAAATTACGTAGGTATTTACGTAATTCAATCTCACCTTGCCTGAAGCTCAATTCGTCGCTCTCCGCCCCAGTGTAGTCGTATAAGGCCCGCACCGGCACGCCAGGTTCACCAGTATCCGTGAGCGCGCCCGCCGACTCTTACTTTATTCATAACTGTTCTACTATGTGTCCCACACAACCAGTCCCATGCTAAGCTCGTCCAAAGCTGAGTTCTTTTATCTACAGCAGCAGCTGAATTATTGTGTACAACGCAACCAGTTATATCTCACCTTGCCTGAAGCTCAATCCGTCACTCTCCGCCCCAGTGTAGCCGTATAAGGCCCGCACTGGCACGCCCGGCCCGCCGGTATCATTGAGCGCGCCCGCCGACTGCAACTTTTAGTGCTGTCTATGTGTCCCACGCTCACCTGCCTGAATCTAAGATCCTTGGAGGAGGCCTCTGTCCAGCAGTGGACGTCATTTGGCTGAAACGAATGATGTCTCACCTTGCCTGAAGCTCAATTCGTCGCTCTCCGCCCCAGTATACTCGTATAAGGCCCGCACCGGCACTCCAGGTTCTCCAGTATCCGTGAGCGCGCCGGTCGACTCTTCCTATATTTTATGGCTGTTCTATGAGTTTAAAAGAGTCTATACCAATATGTCCAATGCACCCAGTTATATCTCACCTTGCCTGAAGCTCAATTCGTCGCTCTCCGCCCCAGTGTAGTCGTATAAGGCCCGCACCGGCACGCCCGGTTCTCCAGTATCAGTGAGAGCGCCGGCCGATTCTTCGTCCCACTCGTCCTCGTCGAAGGGGTTGTCCTGCTTGCCCTGCGAGTCCTTAGCCGGAGACGTCTTGTTCGATTTCGGTGCGGATGCTGTGCCGTTCCTGGAGATATGTGATTTATAAATTAAGGCCTAGCAAGATGCTTCAGGTGCGTATTACAGAATGCAACTCACAACTCGATTAAATAAATTTTAAGCATAGATTGATGCTTTTGTTTATGTTGGATTAATTATGTATTTAATCTTACAACGTAAAGTGAATTAATAAATAAATAAATTATTTTCTTGAAAAACTAGGTACAATACAAGGACCAGCATATACAATAATTAATATACCAAATCTTCAACATGATTACTTCAACCTATACGTTTGAGTAACTAGCTAGTAAAACGTAACTAAGTACGTAAGCTTCCCCATAGGAATTCCAAAAACAATCTCTCCCGCTTTTTAACCGACTTCAAAAAAGGAGATTCTCAATTTGACAAGGTCAAAAAGATGGGTAAAGTATGTTTTTGCTCAGTGCCGGATTTGCCGCCCGTAGGCTTCCGCCTACTCAGCCTGCTGGTAAATCCGCCACTGTTTTTGCTATCTTTTCGACCTCATCGGTTCTTAATAATACCAGAGTAAATACAAATGAGTAGGTCATCTTCATAGAAACGCACCGACCGCAGTTTGTATGTGAGCGCGCCAATATACGTATGCGGCGCATACATTGACAAAATTCGGCGCAACCACGACTAACCCGCTAATCCCCGCTAAATTTTGTCAGTGTGTGCGTGCGCGCCGCATACGTGTTGGCGCGCTGACATACAAACCGCGCTCGTGCGTTTCAATGAAGATGACCTACTCATTTGTATTTACTCTGATAATACACAGAGACAACTAACACAATGTGATCGGTCATATCAGTGATGGTATAGGTGCGGCTGTCAGGACTCGGCTTCAGCGCCAGCCGCAGCAGGTGGTGCCCCAGCGAGTCCGAGTCGTCGAGGGGCCCCGGGGGCCCCGGGCCCCGGCGGGGGGGCGCGCACGCGAATATCTCTAGACGCTCTATGCTGCGGGTGGGATAGGATAGGGGGTTAGAGGGGAGGGTAGGTAGGTGATACGGACCTCACGTTTCAATTAATTAAAGCCACGATAGCCGAACGGTGAAGGGGTCGGACTACCCGGCTCGAAATCCGAGGAACGCGGGTTCGATCCTGCTGCCGTTCGATTATTGTGGTGAGCCCACTTGTAACAAGCATCTTTAGCTTACTACGAGGGGCTAACGGGACTATTACACAAATTAAGGCCTATTCAAACCTGAGCGATATTCGCTGCCGCTGTGGGTAGAGGTACATACCGCGCGGGTTTCGCTCTAGTATTTAGTATCAAGTATCGCGGCTAGAGCGACCTGAGCGATATTCGCTGCCGCTGTGGGTAGAGGTACATAGGTAGACGGTAGCGAATACCGCTTAGGTCTGAACAGTATTATTACCGCATACCCACTGGGTTTTCTCTGCCGCAGACGGTAGCGAATACCGCTTAGGTCTGAATAGGCCTTTACTAATACTCTTTATAAAAAAAAGAAAATTGATGCAATGTCTGAGTAGCCCGTATTAACAGTTAAAACAGACCACTGATGGACAATCCAAAACTCTTAAGAAGGCAGTTCATATTTTGCAAATGGACCTGTACACTGAACTTGTGCAAAACATATTTTAAAGAAACAAATGAAAACATATTTAATTAATCTTAGTAAGGTTTACCAAAGAGAGGTCCGTCTGAAAAAGGTTGTGAAATACTTTTCTAGATTTCAGGATATTTAATGTTACTTTTCCAGGGGCAAGAAGGGGATCAGTAATGGTGCAAGTACACTGTGCGGGAAATTGACCTATAGTAGACGAATCACTAGATCGCACACCGAAGTGTGACTGACGCACGGCGAAACTAACCCAAGTGTGTGTTTACACTATTAGGTCTCGATCAATTTCTCGCATAGTGTACTTGTGACAAGGAAAAAAATACTGAAACAAATTCAACAAACTCTAAAAACATATCCAAAAAGTGTAAACTCACGTGACAGCGATAGGTGCGCTGATGCTTTTCTTGTCGATCGTGTTGTTGGCCGTGTTATTCGCCGTGTTGTTCGCCGTGTTGTTCGTCGAGTGCGCCGGCGCAGGCGGCGGCTCCGTGTGATTCGAGTTCTTGCTCGCCTTGTTATTCGTGATCGGCGGTAGTTCCTGTAGGTTGTAGGGATTAGTTGTTGTTGTTATTGGAGGATTTCGATTTTGTGTAGCACAATTTCATATCAGGTTTAAAAATAATCGCTTGTAGATTTTTAGTTGAGGTACATAGTTACATATCACTGTCAAAGACTAAAAAGTTTTTTTTTTCAGAATGCCATAAATTATTTTAAGAAGTTATTCGCGATCAATGTAGTAAAAGACAACTTTATATAAGAAATTTGAAAAATTGTGCATTAGCACAATACTTAAAAATATTTAAAAAGTTATATTCATGTATGAAATTGTACTACACGGTTATACATCCAGGGACGTGGGTACATATTTTTACAAATGAACGATTATACGATATAACTTATTAACTTTGATAATTTAATATTTTTTAGAAATATACTGTACGTATATAATTTTTGTAATACATAGGAAATGCTATATAATTATTGTAATACTATTAGTTAACATTTAATATTGTTAAACATGCGAATGCATTGTTGAGGGAAGCGACATCCATCATGCAACATCGAAATAAAATAAATAAAAATAATCATAATAAAAAGCATACTTAATAATATAAAAGTCAATGCTTTAAAAATTGCCAAAACTATAATTCATTTATAATTATGAGATTTTTGAGTAATTTAAGATGGAATCAACGAATTTTAAAATTTTGGCAATTTTCACTTGACTTTGAGATTAAAACGAGAATGACCTTGATCCCAAATTCTACTGTTTTAGAAGAAATTTTTATAACATGCTCCAAAATACTAAAGTTGAAGCTGAAGTTTACATTCATTCTCATTTAAATACCCTCTAGGGCCTAACCACAGCGTAGTCACGAACAAAAAAAAACAACTGTCGTCGGAATGGACCATCTGTCAGTACTTACTCTATGGCATTTCAGCCAGTTTGTGCCTAAACGGTGAGTACGATGTGCTTAGACCCCGTCTCTCTGTCGGTTTCTGTCTCAGTGGACACACCAGTTTTTCATTTATGGCCCAATTCATTGATTTGTCAAACTGACAATTCCAATAAATGTGCCAATGAAAAATTGGTGCTCTGTGCGGTGCAAAAATTCACAAACTGTATCTTTATTACGAATCTCAGATAGGCAATAATTATTAAAGTACAAAAGAATTATTTTAGTGCATCAATCACTACAGTCCATTCCTTAGGATGGGTAAATTTACTTAATTAAACTGAATTAAAGTGTAATTATGTCGCAGTTGTGACTTTGAGCACCCCGCATGAGTAATAGCACGTACGTCTTCGCTGACGGGTCGCTGGTTCAGCAGCGTGATGGGCCCAGTGGGCAGGCTCTCCTTGGACTTGCCCTTGGCGATGTCCCGGAACTCCTCCGTGTACTCCTGTCGCGGTCACAAGCGGTCATGCGCGGTCGCGGCCGTGTGACGTCACCGGACCCCGCCGGCGCGGTCGCGGGTCATTGCAGGGGTCAAGGGTCAGTGAACTCACACGGGCCGCGACTACACACAGCCTTTTGCACTGATATGTTGGGATATTTATTTTTTTCTCTTTTTCAGATGATTCATAATGCAAAGATTTTGAAGCTTCTATCAATTATTTGTATCCGAACACATCAGTACGCAACTAAATGCAAATAAAAAGTTAAGAAAATCAAATTAAAATCAAACAAATCTGTTCACGTCCATTGAAAGCTAGTGGGTTTAAAATGAGTTCAAAGCCATTGATGTATATTTACGATTTGCAAAGTTATTAGGTATATACATTTTTGACATCTGTTTATTAATAATTAATTAGTCATTAGAACACACGCATTGTATTTTAGTGTAGGTAGTATAATAAAAAGATACGTAGACGGTTGTCAGTAACATTGCGAAAATATTCAAGTGCAAAAAACAATATTTAGGAGTAGCTTATTAATCATCAGTCATTGTAATGTATAGCCTTGTAAATAAATAAAAATGATTTTTACATAATATATCTGTAATATACATCAATGGGTCTAAAAGCAGGTCGTTTACTAGCGTTGCGTGACGTCACACTGCAGAAGAGGTAGAAGAAAACCATGCGATTAGACATTTAAAGAAGAAAGGAGCATCACATGGAGAGACTAAAAGTAGCCAGGTACTAACTACTATATCAGGTACTAATAAGTTTTTTTATAATAATAAATATTTTGAAAAGCATGCCAGCATGTATCGTCGACAAATTACGAAATTCCACAATGGATTTAGAATTTTATATCTTTAAAGTAGGGTTCATAATCGATTGAGGAAATGCGTCATATTGTGGTAGGTTGATTTGCAGGCATCCTTACTCAATACAAAACAACTAGGTCAAATCATGAAATAAAGTAGCGTAAAACTTTTTTTTGGGACTACACATATTTTTTTCGTAAAACATTTTTTTTACATGAATATTTGTTTAATAAACATTTCTTCTTTTAAATCGAAACCAAAAATAAGTGAAACGATTCAGATATTTTGCGTAGAAGTATTTTTTTAGTCACATAAAGATTCTCCGTACTTCTTTATGCCACCTAAAAGAAGAAGTAAATACCGCGTGACATCAATCTCTATGATTTTGTGACCGAACCCCGATTTTTGCAGCCAGTGTTCATTGATGACATTTGCTTTGAATTCCCACTACCCACACTTCTGTGAGTTCCAAGAGAAACAAATATTTTCTATCTATTTCCACTGTGAGATGTTAGAACAGAAAAACGCAGCCAACTATTAAAAAAAAAAGCAAATAAATAACTTTTTGCTAGCTGTCTCTTTCTGTTCAACTCTTACCTCAGTTAATGGAAAGAGACAAGAACAGTGTTTCCTGGAACGTGACTTCGTGAGATGATGGTGGGTGATCGTGAGTGCTATTTGCTCTGTGGTCGTTGCTATTGATGATGGAAAATTGACTCTATTCCCCACCGTTACAGTGTAAAGTCGTGCATCACCAGTACAAAGTCAGTAAGTATTCTCCAAAGAGACTTTATTATAAAGTGCTTAATTTATTGAAACAATTTGACTCTTTCGGGCATATTCTTTCTTCGTATTACTTATTTCACAACAGATTGTCTTTGTTAAAAAAAAATCAATACCCATTTTTGTTTGTGATTGTTTGTAGTGCAAATTTTTTGCTGTTCCATATTGTAGAAAAAGTGCATTTCTTAAGCGTGTTCAGGATTCCAATTTCTCTGTAAACGCACCCAAATTTTGTGAAGAACCTCTATTGACAACTTATTCTGCTCTGCTTTGACTTATATTTTTATTGATATTTGGATACATTTAATCCACTTTCTATTAATATGCCATTCACCTCCAGAACGTTACGTTCAAACGTGCCAATACATTTTCATTGCAATCCTATTGTGCTGGGTGACACACGGCCTACACCATCGTACCATCAACGGGTTGCTATAGAACCGGCTGCTCCCGTAGCGGACGCTAATGGCCACAGAGGGCGCCACCTTGGCGCCATCATCGCCGAAGCAGAAGGTGGGTAGGGAGCGGCGCACGCGGCGAAATGCCGCCGACCATGCGCCAAGCGGCAACGGACGCCGAGCGGTTGCCGCCACGCGCGCGAGCAAGGCTGATGCTGCGTCGGGTAGGTAGCGGATCGAGACGGGTGAGTCCTTTGGTTCGTCCTATATTTGTATAGGATTGTGAATATTTTTGTTTTGTTTGCAATACTCGATATTGACTCCTTAACTTAAGGGCAATCCTTGTTTTTTATTAGTAGGTGGGTAAGGAGCGGCGCAAGCGGCGGAATGCCGCCGACCATGCGCCAAGCGGCAAGGGGCGCCGCGCGGTTGCCGCCACGCACGCGAGCAAAGCTGATGCTGCGTCGGGTAGGTAGCGGATCGATACGGGTGAGTCCTTTGGTTCGTCCTATATTTGTATAGGATTGTGAATATTGTTGTTTTGTTTGCAATACTCGATATTGAATCCTTAACTTAAGGGCAATCCTTGTTTTTTATTAGTAGGTGGGTAACGAGCGGCATACGCGGCGAAATGCCGCCTACTATGCGCCAAGCTGCAAGAGGCTCCGCACAGTTGCTGCCAAGCGGGCGCCAGCTTACCAAAAAATAACTAAGCAAAATCTTTTTAACTAAGAATTGATTATGTTAAAAATAAATTTATTTTTTAACAATGTTAAAAACTAATTTATTTTTTACTTTATGAACTTGATAAGACAGAACAACTTCACTTACATTAGCTTAGCACTTTAGTTTGGCCTCAATAACACAGAGAATCTCTATCTTTCAATTTTACAAAACTGAGTGCACATCCCTAATACCGAGATGACGTAATATTACATTCTATTGTCGCTCGCTCGTAGATACAGACTCGAAATTTCGGCAGCTTTCACAAGTCTTCGGTAGTATAGTGGTCAGTATCCCCGCCTGTCACGCGGGAGACCGGGGTTCGATTCCCCGCCGGAGAGATCTTTTTGAATTTTATGCGAAATTATTTTAATCGTAACAATTTTACTTTTTTTTTTCATGAATACATAAAAATGACAAAAAAAAGCATTTGAAAATTAATTCTGAAATAAAATTGGTTTAAAAAAGAAAATTCTAATTTTATCGATTTTTTTTGTCTAAAGAAAAACACTGGACTTTTAACTTTAGTGACAAACAATACGATATTTGTGTAATATTATTATATATATTATTATAATTATTTAAAAAAATAGAAGTAGGTTTTGTATGCAGCTGAAGTAGGTAGTAGCTGCATCACAAAACCACTAATTTCGAATTCACCCGCAAGTCTTCGGTAGTATAGTGGTCAGTATCCCCGCCTGTCACGCGGGAGACCGGGGTTCGATTCCCCGCCGGAGAGATTTTTTTTTTCTTTTGAAATTTTAGATTCTAAACTATTTCGGGGTTTTTGATTCTAAACTATTTTGAGATTTTTGATTCTAAACTATTTTGGGATTTTTGATTCTAAACTATTTTGGGATTTTTGATTCTAAACTATTTTGGGATTTTTGATTCTAAACTATTTTGGGTAGAGATGAAACGGATAGTTGTTTGGCCGGATACCGGATACCGGATATCCGGCCAGCTGCTAGGCCGGATAGCCGGATATCCGGCGGCCGGATAGTTGGCCCATAGTCTCGTTGCATGTCGTGACGAGTTTAGCGCCGCACAGGTGCTTCGAACGCGATCAGTGGGTCTATTAGTAGACTGAACTAGACACACTTTTCGAAAATCGAATTCGTCCGAATAGAATGTCAGATTTTGCCACTTGTCTAGGGGGCAGATTAATTCGGGCGATTTTGGTTGCCATCGTAAGTGCAGCGAAAATTAAATTAGTTACTGCGTAATCTGACTGAACAGCATCATGTCATCAGACCATCAGTGAAAAAAAGATCGCCTATTTTGTTTGGCAATAATTCAACATTAACAGATATTTACTATTTATTTATTCATCATTAGAGTGAATAGCTCAGAAAAAGAAATTAGTTTTTTGAAAGGCCTTAAACTTTTTGGACTTTAAATAAAAGCCGTCATTATTATAAGCCATTTTATTGATAATTACCTCAAAGATTAATGTATTTCATTTTATTAACAGGAAATTGTCGTAGTTTTTTAATATCCGGTATCCGGCCGGATAGTGAGTTACTATCCGGTATCCGGCCGAATAGTAAATTTAGGCCGGATATCCGGCCTACCGGATAGTTACCGGATATCCGTTTCATCTCTAATTTTGGGATTTTTGATTCTAAACTTTTATTTTTTGTCTTAAATGCTATTATTGTTAAGAAAAAAATAGTTTATATTTTTGTAGTTTTTTTCTTAAAAAAATAGCATTTAATATTTCAATTAATTAATATGCTGCTACTACTTAAGGTTTAAATAAATGTAATACATCGAAAAAAGGGAGAAGAAGGAAACCTTTCTTCATGCTACATATCAATAAATAAGTTTCAAAGTACTGTAATGCAACTATCCTTACTATAGTAAGCATTCAGGAGTTAACGTTAACGATGCAGGTAAAGATTGCTGGGAACACGGCACGATGGATTGAAATAACTTTTTTTTTAGAGTAAAATAATTTTAGAGTAAAATAAGAGCACGTTTTAGAGTAAAATAATTTTCGGAACATACTCGTAGATGATAATAATTAGTTATTAGAAATTCAATTAACCTCGGTTTCAGACCAAATGAGCTTAGCTTTGGAATCTAAATAAATATTGTGTAAGTCACACTTATGTTTTTTTTAAGTAAAAGCCGACTGAGAATGGTTTAAAGATTTAGAAATTATGTCACTTAATTTGTAGGGGATTATTATACCCCATAATAAGCATTAACCCTACACATAACATTTAAGTATTTTTTTAAGTATTTTTACTAACCCTATGGATCTATGAAGTCTGAAATAGAAAGAGATCAGTGTGCTTACCGTGAGTTAACATTAGGTGTGCTCGCTAGCGACTGCGTAAAAATGTCATTTATGTATGACAGATTGTACAGCGCCCCTAGCGGCCACTTTCAAGAACTAAAATCGTCATAGATATTTGTGACGCACTCGCTAGCGAGTACACTTAACGTAAATAAACTCATGGTAAGCACTCCGATTTGATTCGAAAGCCGCTTCAATCCATCGCGGTTTAGACACAGTTTTAGCAAGTGAGATGCCGTGGCGTCTCCATCGTACCTCGAACTGTGGCCACGCCATGGCCATGTTGACCCCGTGGTTGTTGGCCCACCACTTGAGGTCCTTCTGGTGGTCCGCGTTGTTGATCGTGTGGTTGAACTCTTCGTATATTTGTGGTAATCTGAAATGGTTGTTTTTTGGAAGGATTAAAGGAAAAGAAAATGTATTAAAATTGATTGGAACATGTGATGAGTGCTTTTTTTTAACTTAATTTACGAAAATAGATAACATTCCTTTGTTTCTTTTGGATATAAATGCACAGAGAATTGATGGCTGTTAATAAAAATGAGATGTTGATGCAACAAAATTTCAGGTGTCGAACGATTTTTCGTAGGTATGGTATGGATAAATTGGACAATTCGTTTTCGACCTACACGCTGCAGCCTACAAACTTTTAGACGGCCGATAGTTTGGTAGGGCTGTTAAGCATAGAAATGCAAACATTACACCGATCTGGTATCGGCCGACTAAAGACCTTGCGGGGTCTTAAACGCGAATATTTGTCTTATGTATTTTTGTCTCATGTCTCCGCGGAATTCAAAAGAAAGCAATAGAACTTTAGTTTACAAACTTTGGCTGCCACAAAGATTAATAGATAAGTTTTTTTTTATGCATAACAAGGCAGGTATTTGACCACAATCGCACCTGGTGTTAAGTGAGATGCAGTCTAGGATGGTGCATATCTGCACTGTAAGTGTATATTCACTCTCGCCTTGAAAAGACCCGGATTATAGTCTTCGGGAAAGACAGCAGCAGGCAGCGAATTCTAGTCCCTAGCTGTTCGCATTATAAAAGAGTTATCGAAACGCTGAGTGCGAGCTGGTGGAATGATAACAATATAGGGATGGTACGCTAACCTGCGTCTGGTTCCCCGACGATGGAAGGTATGTAGTAAACTAATAAAGATTAGTATGTAAACTAATACTCACGTAGGTTCTTTACTAATATCAAGGCACTTGTGGAAGCTGAACAGCACGTCTTTGAAGAACGTCAGCCTCTGCGCTTCCATCTGCTGGCAGCGCTCGAAGACAGCCGTCATGTCCTCGATGTACCGAGGGTTGTACGCCGTGATCTCCGCCAGAGCCGCTTGGTACTTTTCACGGTTTTTGGAAACTTCTTCACGGCATTTGGAGACGCGTTCTGCCATTTTCTTGACCTGGAAACGAGAGAGATTGGTTGAGGACACTTTTTCTTGTTAATAGCTATGCTACATAGGGGTACATATTTTAAGTGTACATATGTCTCTTGTGTTTTAATGTTTAGGGATAAGAATTAAGATAGGGACAAAGTAACTAACTAAGCTATAATAAGGCATTTATTAATGTTAAGAAATCGTGATAGTAAGGGAAAATGCAGTTATTAAAGTTAGAAATACATTATATTCTCTAACGAACGATGGACTCTGCTATTTGTTTTTGGCGCTTGCTGCATCTGCAGCATTTTTCCAAAGAGAAGCACGGCACTATTAAATAAGAAAGGTTAAAGTTACCTATCTCAAATAGTAATTCTTCTGTTCTGCTATCAGACATCCAAGAGCATTAAAGAAAATCGAGTTATAAAAGTTATTAGAACACATTGACAACATTTTTGCAGAACAAAAATCCAATGCATGGGATTTCGTTCTCATGAGATAATTTGGATGGATGATTGATGGGCATTGAGGGATTCTTTGAGCTCGAAATTAAATTATGATTAGTCCACGCCGCCATGGACTCGAGTCATTAGCCAGTTCGTTTTGACAAATTGGCTAAATTTGGTTAATTCGGAAACTTCCCGACTCAGTTCCAGTTTAGTCATTTGAATTTATTTGGTAATAAAGTTTTTGGCTTTAATAAAGACCGGCCCTGTGGTAGCGATTGTATAAATAAACAGATTTTTGGAAACAGATGTAAATAAATAAACCTTTTAATTTTGTTAGTTGAGTCGTTTCGCTACTTATTAATTTAAATTTTGTTACGTACTAGGTATAATTACTTTTATACAACGGATTTAAATAGTTTAGGCCTAGTTTTAACCCCAGATATAAAAGTCATCAATGCTAAGATACTTAAAAATATATAAAAACATATTTTGAACTATATGAATATTAATTTAGCCTTGAAAATGAAATAACCTTCAAAATAACACTTGTATCACTGCCCTACTTATTTAATTATGGTTAATTAAAATAAAAACAACGTAAATTTCGAGCAAAAGCCTTTAGACGAAGAAATTATTAGACATTTCTATTCAAATCATTTCATTAGTATTCTGTATCACAACACGGTTGAAATTAGTCGTTTTTTGGTGTATAACTTCACTATAATATTAATTTAGCGCCTGACCTTGCCTGTTAATCATTATGAAATACATTATTTATTATTATTATTTTATTATTAAGCGTGAGAGAATCATATAAATCACCTTTTCCATGTTAATGTGATGTGTGTCGGAATTTACGGTCAATATTTTGAAACATCTACGCATCATATTAATTAAAAAGATGTTTGTTACCTATAAACTTGAAAACTACTTAGCGAATTTTTACTTTATTAACATTATTTGATTGCTAATTATTTAACTTAGAATCTGGGATAATTTTTTTTCTATAGTTTGATCCATCCACTGAACAGTCTCATATAAATTAGAGGAAATGGAAAAATGCTCATTACATAGATCTTAGTATTTTTGATAATTAACATAACAAGCTAAATACTGTGGCCTCCTAATAGTTGTTTTTTTGCGACATTAAACTTAACATTTACTTAAGTACTTGATATTTTTTTCTTTGCACTGTCGCGGACTTTTCTCCGACTTTGCACTCAAACTGGAGTTAAGTTATTACAAGTCAGAAAACATAATAATTTAGGAGAAAATGAAATGACGAAGTTACAGTCGAAATTAGGGTCACCATCCGTCTTAACTTTGACGAGACTTCAAACTCAGATGGAAAAAATGGAAATGAATGATAATCTTCTGCCAGTATAGACAATAGACGTCAACAGTTAGCCTAGTTCTTGGCACGTTTGGCCACGGTTTTCTTTGAGTAATATTCTAGATTAACTGGACTTTGTTATTAAATACGTTTTATCAGCAACTAGATTGCCCATTAGTTGAATACAGATTGGGAAAAACTATTTTTATAAGCTACAAAAATGTAAAATTTCGTTCAATAGTTATTACAACTTTTCTGGCGTTATTAAAATTTCGTTTAATAGTTTTTGCAAGAGCAATAATGTAGCCATGTAGGTTTATATTGTTTATGCTACATCCATACAAATTTAAAATTAGAATAAATCCTGTCAAGCAACAGTGACGACACATCAGACATAAGGTGATACAGTGTTACTGTTTACCTTGATGTGTTGTGCCTTATTTATGGTCACCCTAGTCGCAATCTGCCGCCATCGCACCGGCGCCTGATTCGATAACGCGGCGGAAAGTGGCAGGACTGGCAGACGACTGGAAATGAGCTCGTCTTTCCAAATAATTATAAAGTATGTTTACTTTGACATTAAATATCGACTTTCTAGTTTTGCACATTATTTATATCGTATAATGTTCTTTTTTATCATTCATCATGTTATTTATAGATAACAAATAAATCACAAGCAAGTAATTTTACTTAACAAGACTTCAACTTTGTTTTAATTAATTTATCTAGTATACCTAAGTCAATAATAGTTGTAACGGTGAAAAACGCTGTACCTATCTTTTTTTATAGTGAGATATTATATGAAAAGTAAGTGAAATTCAATGTGAAACAAAGTGAACACTTAATAATATTTTGTATAGTTTTATACGCTGTAAAACGGGCAGAAATATTAATAAAGTCTGAAGAGAAAATTCAACGTTGCACGAGTTTTAATGTCACCATTAAGAAATGCTTGGAAATGCTAACACACATCAAAGCATTCTTGCACATACTTAGGCATCGTCTCAATAGCCGACTCCAGCGTCACAGGGCAAATAGATCGGCAAATACACTGCAGTATAACCTTTCCTATTTAAGGCTGCTTGTCCACAGAATTGGAGCGAGGTAAAAGCAAATAGAATTGCATAAAATGTTCCTCTTGATTGGACAGGGAGTTTAAAAATTCATACAAAACTTTTTGGTTTTTCAGCCATTCACTTTCGTGACATTATAAAGCACCACAATTGCACAATATCCGAATAATGATTTTCAGCAGTCAACATTAGCAAATGGCCACGGCGATGCGAACGGTTACCCTTCGGTTTTTTCCATTTTTGTTTCGCTCCGTAAAGTGGAACTGATTCTGTCACCAATGTCCTTTTTCTAGGCCCTCTAGGGGGACTGGCTATTTTGTCAGAGCTGTGTCGTATCGCACAGAATCCACCTCACTTCGCTCTCCATCAGTTTTTTATAGATAGTTGCTTCACTCTATGGAGAGATTTCGAAATTGAATTCGTCACAAATGTTACTTTGCCTAGGTGGTCTGGCTGTTTTTCCAGAGCTGTACCGTATCGCACTCCAGGCGACGCTAGCGCCACCGCAATTAACTGTCACTTGAGCGCTGAGCCTGCGCGGAGCCTTAATTAGCCGGTCTAATCACCAGCTGGAATCAGTGAGAATTCTGGCATATTTGAGCTGAGATCATGGTATTAATGATGCTGTTTAATGTAATGTAATAACTTGGGACTGACTGATATCGCAATTGTTCAATTACTGAGGTTGATGAGACTAACATAATAACAATGTTAACAGCATTGTTATTTCGGAAATTGGAAGTAAGATACTCTATGGATCACAGAATCCATAGTAGGTTTCCACCTTCGCCCTGATCGATCATCACTTTTCATCAGGTCATGCAGGGCAAGAGCTTTTCCGTTATAAGCTAAAAAGGCTGTCGTACGACTAGCTACTAAGGACATAAACATGTATCTACATTTATTTTGTTTTACATAACATCAACACAGACATTGTAGCAAGTGGTTAAGTCAACATGGAATATTTAAAAGGAACGATCAAAATAGCCATTTCCTATTCCAGATAGAAATTGTATGTGTTAATTAATACATTTAATTTTGAGACAGTAATTGATTAGGTATGGGTCTCATACGAATATAATACGTTTTTACAGGGCTACAGTACATTTAATAGCATCAATATTGATTCAGTCGGACAACAAATGATAACACGAAAGTTACATACACAAATACGGCACAACAAACCAACATACATCTTACCAACAAATTCCTCTGTGGCATTGAAACAAAAACAGAAATTACAAACAAATTTAAAGCCGAACAAAGGGGATAATAAGCAGCTGTGCTTTGTTCTATGCAGCCGCAGTATTCTGCGGAAAGCTTTGCATTTTCTTTGATAAGACTTTTCTGAACAGCTTTTGTTGAATACAAATAAATTCAAGAAAACTGAATAAAGTTAAGTATACTTAAAAATAAATAAATGAGATATACTTAAGATAATGCATTGTTTTTATGAGCATTGTATTTTTTTTTTAACATTGTATTCAGTCTGCTGGGCGTGTCAAAACTACGGGATTATTTCTCCCTCCTATCACTTCAACTCTTGTTCAGCCAGGATCGCCAATAAAACCAATCATGTGGAAGTTGAATAGTCCCGGGGGATAGCTAACTGTTTTGAATCCGCACAGAATACAAATTAATCCGTTCAGTCTCCATTCCAGCGAAATCGTTGAGTGGCAGATAAATGATTAATTAAGTAAGTAGTGTATGTATAAATGTTTTATTCTTGAAATATAATGTACATCAAAACAACTTTAAAAACCACAGATCCGTTGAAATGTTAGTCGAAATTGCTTACAGCCGATGGTCCGTTTTGTCATATTGACTGAGCGACGACCTAGAAAACTGCAGCCAGGGCCGGGGCTACTGGGGGGCTCTTGGGGCCCCAAGGGAAAAGCTAAAAGAAATATGAATGAAATGTTACTTAATTTTATGCTTCAAACTTCATCCATGTATTGGTTCTATTTGTAAAGGCACTAAACTCTTAAATGACATTCGATTCTAGCAAATGATTGGTTTAATTTAGACTTGGACCATGAGATTTAATTTATACTAGCTGACCCCGCGAACTCTGTTCCGCCTTAAAGGCAATAAATAAGCCATCGCAATTTTTCCTTATTTGCTCACCGTTTAGACCTACCCTGGAGTACGACAAACATTTTAAAACC